ATCCACAAGGGCTGTGACGAGGATTCGAACCTGCGGCCGAGAGCATCCCAGACGCTGCCTTAATCGACTGAGCTACGACATGGCAAAAGGAGTTGAAACCGAAGTTCTACTGCACTTACTGGATCCTGCAGCCTCTCCGAGGCACAAACCAGGGTTTTACACAATTCCCCCATGCACTCGAGCTATGTCAATAGGCCGTTCTCTTTCCCATTTTCTGGGAGGGCTTACTCGGTGACTTTCTGTTGCTAGTCACCTAGGTAGCTATACATAACATGTCACACCAGCTTGCAAGTCACTGAGAGTCTGCCAGAGACTAAAGGCCAAAACTTGGTTCCTTCATAGAGGTGCAGAGAGCTGGGGATGCAAGGTCACCCTCGCTGAGAAATAGGCTGCCAGAAAGATTGGTGAAATAAAATGGACAAAAGCAAGGTAAATCTGAACAACTGAAATTGAAGCTCAAAACGGTTATCATTCAACCTCTAGTTAAAACTCCCCACTGCCAGGTAGCAACACTGGGAGCTCTGGACCGACCAGGGAAACCCATCAGTCATTCACCTGGTGGGGACACATTCACAAGTGCTCTTCATGTCAAATATTTTGCCCTTGACATGAGTCCCATTTTGTCCAGATAAGTGTTAGCATCATTTAGCATCAGAGGTAGCACTCTCTCCTACTGGGGCTGTTTGCATGTTGTTTCATTTCTGGTAGTGTTGCACAAGTGCTTTTATGCCTTATTTGTGTAAACGTTGAGTAACTGTTCACCTCGAGCAGCATGGGCTTAGGTTTGCTTCAAAGACGCTCGCTGGTGTTGCCTTTGCCCAGTCAGGGTTACTTTCCCTGGTGGGTTTGGGTGTCTGTTCTTGAGCGGCTGGCCTCCTGTGGAGGGTGTCTTTGACTCCTCTGTGAGGCTCCGAGTTGGAGGCAGGTAAGGTTTTTTTAGGGTGCTCTGGAGTTTGCATGCTTCTTTTATGGTGTGCTGCTTATGCCCTACTCGGCTTCCGTTCCCGGAGCTGTTTTCAGTGTCTGCTGCCAAGCGGCCTGCTTCACCTGGTGTCCCTGGTTGGGTTTCACTGTCATGGCCTGGAAATCCCCGGCGGGTCTTTGGTGTGATTCAGGTATACTTTATACCAGTATATTGAGCCCTCACTGGATACAAGTTTACAGGATGTACTGTACCTTGGTTTTTCCTACATGCCGAAGGTCATTCCTTCTGCAGGTTGCCTCAGGGTTTGTTTACATTCCTTGTAACTTTGGTTGCTTCCATGTGTTGTCGTTTGTTCTTGTTCTGCCATGCCCCATATGGTGATAGTGGGTCTGTGTTCTGTTCATTTCCCTTGCTCTCCCTGCCTTTCCTTCATTCCTGTATTATGCTGTGTGGTGGCAGCTGTTAGCCTTTACCATTTTACCAGCAGCCATGAGTTTTGGCCCTTCTGGTGGGCCTTTCTACCTGGTGGCAGCAGCTTTGGTGGTGTACACAGGATGTGTACCATCTGTGCCAGGTGGTCTCTGCTTGCTGGAGTTTTTTTTTTTTTTTCATTGCAGTGCTGGGCCTACGTTGTTGCCCCTAGGCAACAGTACTTAGTACTGTAAATAGATATCTGGGAGTTTGACAAAGTGTTATGGGTTATATTGTCAGGAAGTTAGTAAGTTGGCCAAGAGGGACCTCGATGAGTCTTAAGTACAAGCTTTGTCACTGGCAATGAGAAACCAAACAAGATACCTGTCCCATTATTCTCAGAAAGCTCAATGCATAATTTTGCTAGTGTATACCTATAACCTTTTATTATATTGCTCCCATTCCTCCTTTGATGTTATGCCTCCCCAACCTCATGAAAGTGGGAGATTGGGTAACATAATGATAAAGACGTGTCAACGTGTGTATATGTACTGTGAATAGGTTAACATTTTCTGATTTTTTTTTTAGGTGATAGATATCCGTGACATAATACGATCCCAGAAGATAGATGCAATGAAGGACGTTTATATTGTACAGTGTTTAATGGAAACCGATTTATACAAGCTTCTCAAGTCCCAGGTTTGTCACATTTTCTCGCTGTTTCTTCCTACAAGTAACTCTACATTAGTAGTTCTCTATTACTAAACAATCTCATGAATGGTGTTTCATGCTCTCATGTTCAGTGTTGATGTAAAATATTTTTTGTTGAGTAAGCTGTTACAATCACAAAACTTACTAGACCTGTACTGTATAAGCAGTTTTAGCTTTGGTTACAGTGCATACAGTACTGATATTCCACCACCACTGCCATTTTCATTATTTTCATTATTATTATTATTCAGTCACACTGTCCCTTCTGGATTCTGCTTCGTTTTACACTTGAATAGGATACAAACTCACTTATCAACAGAATGGTCTAATTTTACTGAGATCACAATATTTCTCAGATATTATGAGTATTGGTTCCTTCCCCTAACCTTTATTTAGTAATGTTGTAATTTGGCCTTATCTTGTAGTCAAAATATTATCACATTACTCTTGTATTATATATTGTTAATCATTCCCATCGAGACACACCCAACTACTGCCAGGCATATGCCCACCCCCACCTCCACACCCCATCCATCCACCGTCAATCATATGTCCACCCTCACTTCCACCCTTGCCTACCATATGCCAACACCATTCAAAGTTTTTTGCATTGTGGAATGTGCCTGATATAGAATCCTGGGTTAGCTTCCTTGATTGGCTATTATAAAAATACATCTTGTTTACTTTGAACTTCAGTAAAGGTACAGCTTAATTGTCACACATCACCAGTACATAATGCTATGTTGTTAAATTTAATCCTATTTCATGGGCTTTCTTGTGCTTCATAAAAAAATTATATTTATATTTTTAGAAGCCCTTTACCATGTAAATCTCTCTTCATATTTACAATTTCAGAAACTGAGTAATGACCACATTTGCTACTTTCTCTATCAAATTCTCCGAGGCTTGAAATATATTCACTCTGCGAATGTTCTGCACCGTGACTTGAAACCATCTAACTTGCTGCTGAATACTACATGTGACCTGAAGGTAGGCCTTCCTGTTTGAATATTATTCGTCAGCTGGATGATCTGTGTTTATTTAGGTATCACTCGACACACTCACATTGTCAAGTTTAAGGTTATCTGTTACTGTTAATGAAATTTATAATATATAGGGAGTTTGCAGTGCATTACCCCTACCATTTTCTTCTGATCAGTACAATGTCAGCCTTGCTTCTTGCAGGGTTTTTAGACGAGTCCTGATGGTTCAAGCGATGTTATAACTTCTCACTCTGCATATCCCAGCTCTTAGTTTATCCCCTTATTTCTTCGCAGTGTATGCTTGTCATACTGACTTGGTACTCTCTCCTGATTATTACCTGTACCTTGCAGTTGATAGTTTATGAGAAACTGTACCTGGAGCCTTAGGAATAGAGGTGAGGGGGCTTCATTTTATTAAGGCTTACGAACACACTTCGCATATGCAACCCTCCCCTTAATCCATGGCCTTTTTGGTTAATGTAATGTTATATGATTTCTTGGGATATTCATCTGTTTTTAGTGGTTCACGTTAATATTAAAAGTAACTTGGTATATCGATTTGAAACTTTTATTACTTTTTTGTGACAATAGAAAAACAACTTTTGTAATTAGATCATGTGCACTGTGGGTACACAGGGAATGTCCTCAGTATTTATAACATGAACTGTTGATCTCAAATATTTGGCAAGCAAAAATCATTTACTACATACTGACTGTAAAATATTTAAATTGCTGAGAATTTGCTCTAGAATGGGGACAAGATAAATGTCACATACTGTAATCCATACCTTTCATGGAAAAAACTTGAATATCAGATCCCTAATATGCACAATAAAATTATAACATACTGTAGTGGAAGATATAGTAGGAAGTGTAGAATTGATACTCTGAAGCATATAGCACAAGAGCAGAGTACAGTAGAGCATGAGCACAAGTGTAAAATGCTATAAATATCCGAGGTCTTTGACTTTTCAACTTTCTGCCAGCAAATTTAAGAAACACTGCTGGAACTAAGGTTAAAGTTTTCAAGAGGATAATAGATAGGCTTCTGCAGGAAGTGCCAAGTGCAGGGTTGTTATGGTTATGTATATCAAAGGCCTGTTGTCAGCTGTCAATAACAGTATTACTGTTCAAATCACAGTAAGATCTTGTCCCTGGGCATGACTGGGAGGAAAAGAAACCTAAAGATGTGATACAAGTTAAACCATAGGTAGTGTCTCCTGACAATGGGACTACTGTATTAGGTGTCCCTGGCAATGGGTCTACTGTATTAGGTGTCCCTGGCAATGGGACTATTGTATTAGGTGTCCCTGGCAATGGGACTACTGTATTAGGTATCCCTAGCAATAGGAATAACTTTTAATTATGAAGTACTATACAGTACCACATTTATATACAATATTTATGTTTTGCATATTTTTGATGCCGTAATATTTTTCAGATCTGTGACTTTGGGTTAGCTCGAGTTGCTGACCCTGAGCACGACCACACAGGTTTCCTAACAGAATATGTCGCCACACGCTGGTACCGTGCTCCAGAAATTATGCTCAATTCAAAGGTAAGCCAATCTTCAGAACAGAGTTGTAGTTAATTTAAGGTGGATGTGTGTGTCTCAAAGAGGACCTCAGTTTGTATCGTGAGGAAGGTGGGACAATTATGCACTGTTCTGTCACTCATTTACCACTTGTTCACCACATGGCACCAAGCCACTTGGGCTGGACGGTAGAGTGACAGTCTTGCTTCATTCAGGTCAGTGTTCAAAACCCAGTTGTCAAGTGTTTGGGCACCATTCCTTTTCACCCCCTCCCTGCCCCATCCTGTCCCAAATCCTTATCCTGATCCCACCCAAGTGCTGTATAGTCATAATGGCTCGGTGCCTTCTCCTGATAATTTCCTTCCCTTCACCACTTGGCAGTAATTGTGGACCTGGAAATACAATGATTAGCAGATTTCTAGGGAAAATTTGGCACTGAATAACCGACTGATTGCTATATCTGGCCCAATGCCTAAATCCCAACATAACTATAAAATCCATTGCATTAGCTGCTTCACTCCTATCTGTGTATTGTCTAGAAATAAATACAAAAGTTTAGAGAGATGTCTTATGTATTCCGCTCAATAGTATTTATCCTTTAATAGTCACTTGCAAAATTTTTACTTGGTCTAGTTATTAATGCCTGAATGTCTCTTATTCTCCACTGTCAGTTGTCGTAGTTCATCATTATAGTCTGATAATAACGTGCTAAATTTTAATTTATTTCATTAAACATTGTTCCTCTTAGCACCATGTTATGTCAAGCCACAAACCTTGTAAGTTGCATTTTTCAGGCACTTGTTATGAGAGAGCACTTAAATTACAAATATTTGACTTAAAAAAAAGAATTAACAAGACTAACACTTTTTGTACAGTGAAAAAAGTTTTTATTCTCAATGTTTAATGCTCATTTTATTGTACATGTACTGTATTTATTATCCTGATAGATTTTTTTATCTTTAAGCTTTTCTTGAAATCTTTGTTGTACAACTATTTGTATGAACACTCATTCCTGTATACAAGTTGTGCAAAGTGTGATTAGTAAGTTGCAAGTGTGGCATCACCCCGGGTCTTACTCCCCCTCTCACCTGTGCCACTGTCCACTTAAGGGGAGCACCTCAGCCACTCACGAGGAAAGTGTCCCAATTCAACCTTGCAACCCCGTAGCAAGTGAGGAAGCTGGCAGCTCCTGGGTCTCCAATCTTTGTAACCACAGATGTGTATACCTCTAAATGTTATAAAAAAAAAACTAGGTGCTTTCTTGGCTATTTACATGGGGAAGTATGACTTTCTGGTTTGGTGAGGAGCGTATTTAGGTGGTCCACGTAACACAAAACAATATTATTACATAAACAATGAAGTTTTAAATGTTATATGGCTTGCATCTCATTTCTTAAGCGTGGTCCTGGTGCACCAGAGATTTGTTTTACATGATCAAATGGTGAATTGTATGGAATTTTTACTACAGTGCCTTGGAGAAAGTATGAAATAAACTTATTGATTTATTTAAGCAACAAATTCTGTGGACCAGACCCTCATTGTGAGATCATGATAATGAGATGCATCAAAAATTTTTGTTCCTACATGGCTCTGGAGAGAAGTGATGAGATTGCCTTTGAGTTACTAATCCCTGACTGACTAGATATGGGTTCAGGTTGCATCTTTCACATGCAATTCAGTATTCAAACAAGTCTTGAAACTTTTCAGTCACACTTCATATACTGCACTTCATGTTCTTTCCGAATATTACAGCTGTAATCATTTTATTTCATTAGTTTATTGTATATTTACAGCACTTCCCAAATATTTTCAGGGCTACACCAAGTCGATTGACATTTGGTCGGTGGGGTGCATCTTAGCGGAGATGTTGTCAAACCGTCCTTTGTTTCCTGGCAAGCATTATCTGGATCAGTTAAACCACATTCTTGGCATACTGGGCTCTCCGTGTCAAGAGGACCTTGATTGTATCATCAACGAAAAGGTGCAGTGTTTGTATATTTTAAAACCATTTCTATAACTGTAGTTTAGAATATATCTTTGTCCTGGAGTCAGTATGGTTGGTTGCATTTTCATGATTAGGTATTTCTGATAGGTATGGCATATGGTTATGCCAGATCTTTTTGTTCCAAGTGGTGTCATTGTCTTGTAACAGCTGAAGCTATTTTAAATAGGTGATTGTATGGAAGGCAGTGGCATACGCCCTTGTACAAAATTTGCAGTGACAGGGTAGTCGACCTGACTTTGGGAGCATGGGTCATCTCTCCTGGGATTTAGGGATTAACACCTTTAGAATACAAGATGGCCATCTCCTTTTTTTTAAAGCAACATATAATGAATATGTCAACGAAATACAGTAATAACTAATTTGGTATATGTATGTATGTTACGTTTACATGTATGTAGAATGAAGGTTGAGAATAGGGTTGTATACAGGCAGAGAAATGACGGCATGTGGAGGGACTAGTTTGGGTTCCGGATGACTCGCCATGTCAAGGTCACGCGGCCCAGTGAGTGACCACATTAGTAATTCACAAAGTTCAAATTCAGATCACTAGCCAATGTTGTAATTGGAAATAGCCTTTTCCTAAGATGCCTGTACAATTACCATCAGTTTTTATGAGAATTCAATCATCTGGGGTTTGCCAGTAATTAGCATTAGTTTGATCAAGTTAAATCCTGCTTAGAAAATTTATTAAACCTGGCGAAGTAATACCCGATAGCCTCCGTTGTGAGGAGAGCTAGGCATGATCAGTGTGGATTTGGGCAGCAACTGAAGAAGTCAACCATCCTCACCTCTCCAGAGATCAGCACTCCATCGGCTGGTCTTCATAGTTAAGGTAAAAGTTGCAGTGGAGTTAGTAATCTCACATCTGCCTCTATAGGAAAGTTAATTTAGGGAATGATAGCTAGGGAGTGTTTCCAATTATTTTATATTTCTTAGCTTTTGGTAATGAACTCTGTTAAGATTTTCTCGTTTCGTATTTTTGAGTTACCTGGTTGATGGGGTTCTGGGAGTTCTTCTACTCCCAAGCCCGGCCCGAGTATTACCATGAGTGATTTTACATGTGATGGTCCTTGCCATTTGGTCTCCACGAGTCTGGGTTTATTTGGGTCGCAAGCCTAGCCCAGTTCAAGAGTTTAATATATCCCTTTGCTTTGTTTGAGTACACTTAACGTAAATTCATCCCCCCTTTTCCAAGTAATTTGGGGATTAAGCCCCAAGGGTTAAATGATTGATTAATTGGTCCAGACCCCGATTAATTGACAGCTTTGGTTACTGGTCTGGTGGTGGCGGCGTAAAGAGATCCTTGAGTTTGCTAGAAAACCTAGTACGACGTCACATGGCTGTAGAATCTTAGCTGATTGAGCGGCTAAGACCATGTGGCGTGGGACTCGGCTGAGAGTTAGCTCTGGGGTCCTCTGGAATTAAGTTTAAGCAAGCATATTCACGGACAGGGTAAAGGACAGAGCAGAGCTAACACCCCGTCCCGTGTTACAGTCTTTTGAGAGTAATTTCTAGCTCTAGGCCCCTGAATTCTATATATTTGTATTTGGTGCTTTTTCAGTTACTAATATTTAAGTTCACTTGTATTTTCTCTTCAATCTGTATGGATGGAGATGGCTTCCATAACTTCTTTAAGTGCATTCCACTTGTTGAGCATTCACACTAGCATTTCTTTGCACCTTCTCAGGCTCATTTGCATTTCTAACTTCCACCCATGTCCTCTTCTCCTATAGTCCCAATGCCTTATATCTTATTATCCTTCAAATGAAAAAGGCTGTTACTGTTCAACTTCTCTCTTCCCACGTCATATAAATTTATACGATGTGGGCATAGATCACTAATTCCTCTGAGCTTCAGTAGTAGTCAGGGAGAGTTAAAAATTCCAGTTTGGCAGCAGGCTGCTGCTTCTGGAAACTTTCCTTATTAAGACCACTCAATAGCTCGGTCAATAGAGCTTCGGCCTCACGTGCATCAGGTCCACTGTTCGAATCTCCTAGAGCCAACGTGAATGGAAATTTCACTGTGCTTTGCAAATTACCTGTTCGAAAAGTATGAAAATTACATTTCTTTAAACAGTAACATAGACCAATAATGTGTGCACATTTCCAAATAATTTATTTTATTAATATTGAAATTTTAATAAGGAATGTTGAGAACAATTGATATATTCATCACTGTCATGCAAGTTCTGTTAAATCACATTTTATTTTGCATCTTTACTCTATCAAATTCATTTGTGAACATTTTGATATCAAATATATAAATGTTATAGTAATAACCCAAAAACTTACTGGGGAAGCTTTAAGAGGATAGAGTGTTAAGATCTCGCTGAGCGGGGTGACCCTGAGATGCCTGGAAGACTTGTGGTCGTGAACACACAGGTGGACTGGAACCTTAAAGTATCGCATCCCTTCTCTCCTAGTGTATCTTGGTGCTCTTATTGTAGCATTCTACCACTCATCATTACTACCAACCTTGTGTCCATCCCACCTCACTCATCAATACCAACCATGTGTTCATCCCACCTCTTCACTACCATGTGTCCATCCTACTTGCACTCAACATATATCCACATTATTCACAATATTTCTGGCAGTATTGTGGAATATCCCTTGCACAGAAATTGGGAGTGCATTGCCTAATTGGCTGCAATAGCAAAAACATCTAGTTAAAGACCGGTTAATTTACAGGCCAGAAGTTATCTGCAGTCTTTACCTTACAAGCCAAAGGTTCCTTGGACAAAGCTCTACCCTAATGCAGATGCCAAAGCATTAGACCTGTTAGACAAGATGCTGACCTTTAATCCTCACAAACGCATTACAGTTGAAGAGGCACTTGCTCACCCATACTTGGAACAGTATTATGACCCTGCAGATGAGGTAAGTGGAATTCAGTATATACCCAGCATAATGAATAGCATGAATTATATAATGTATTATGTTTAAATAATGTTCTCTCATTTTCTTAATAAATGCGTATTCTATTTCCATCCTTCCGTATTATTATGACATTTCTGTTAGATTATTAAAAACTTGTGCAGCAGGCTATTGTATAGGTTTTAAATTCCAGTGTTTTGTTTAATTTTTTCAGCCTGTTGCCGAGGAACCTTTCAAATTTGAAATGGAACTTGATGATCTACCAAAGGAGAAACTCAAAGAATTAATCTTTCAGGAAACAGTGCTATTTAAACAACGAATTGTTGTTGAAACACCTATGCAGCAAAACTGAAGAAGATAGGATTAAGAAGTGTTTTGAGTAATGAGGGGTATAGTATGACCAGGCTAACTTCTTTGGGAGGACACTCATTGAAATGTCATTAAACTCTTGGCAAGCTAGCCTCTTTGTTGAAGGTTCAAGTAATACCAGGAACTGTGTTGAGTCTTGACAATGAAGAATGCAATGTTTAGGCCATTGGAGATTATTTGCTCTTGAAAACCCCTTTCAGGTTTATGAGGAACCTGAAACAAAGGCCATGATTTCTTTGTGACAAAAATAGGAAGTGCCTCACTTTAAAAGTCATTTAGGCAATATGAAAGACTCTTGAGTATTTCATCTAGGAAGTGAGCTTGCAAAGAGTTCATCTGCTATGAGCATCGTAAAAGGTTCGATGCCAGTTTGTAGACACAGAGGACAAGATGTTTAATGACTTGTAGTGTCAGATTCTGAGGAACTCTCCTCCAAGAATCTAATCACTACTTTCAATCTTGTGGCACTTTTACTGAACATGTGTGTGTCACATATGGCTGGTAATTGCTTAAATTTTTAGACAAGTTCAGGTTACATGTGTTTTCAGAAGCAAGGGACATAATCCTCATTAAGTGATTTCTTTCTAGAGTAACAGTGGTGTTTGCTTATTTGAGTGGTATTGTTTGTATGCTCCTCTTGGACAGTCAATGCCATGCTACTTTAGAAATTTGTATGGTGATGTACAGTAATTGCAAGGAGGTTATTGTTAACCTTCTTTGGATGCCTACTACTATTGTTCACAACCCTTGGAATGTGGTTGTTCAGTGCTTCTGGATTTTGTTTCCTGGTGAGGGAGGGAAGGCTGGGTTGTGGAAGGGAAATGAAAATTACTTAATTATTTTTGGAAAGCTGTTACTTATATAGAATACTGGGGTTGTAATGTAAAATTTGTACTACCTTTCTAATGTAATTCCTGCAATACTAGCCACTTACATGTCAAGACTAGGAACACTGTGTATATATATATATACTGGTATATATGCATTCCAGCCAGTCTCGCTCCCTGATAAATCGGTGTTATAAGGCACTGCTGCTTATGATTCAGAGGAGGTCATAAACATTGAGATTTATTCAACATTGGAAATACTGTACTAACTGCCATTTTAGCTAAAAGTCAAAGGAAGGGATGTTTAAATGTTAAAGGTATAAAAATATTTTTTATCTGGTGATGTCAGTAGTGTTTTTAATGAAGTCTTGTGCTCAACTGATTTATTCTTACTGTATTATGTTGTTCTTAAAACTACTAAAAGACATTAAATATACTGTTCCTGAGCACTACCCAAGAGATACAGTGTTGACATGACTATCCTATGACAGGAGGTTCTCATGATACCTTGAACTGTATGCGGATCCATACAGCATAGCTAATTGCAGTATTTAGGATTTGGTTCTTGGGAGATCCTTCTTTACGCCACTTGTCTTTTTTTTTTTTTTTTTTTATTGCTCCAGTTTCTTTAGCACTTGTAAACAATGGCATTCATAATTTAGTTTTCAAGTTTGTTGGCTATAAGATTAGTATTTACATGTCATATCAACCTGGCACCAAGAAATGTGAAAATCTTTGGTGGGTAAATGAACCTTAAAATTTACTTCTACTTATGCCCATATTAGAGTATGATGTCTTATTTTGGGTTGAATATATCTTTTTATTTTTTTTCTATAGGGGGTTTAGCATTGTATTTAATGTGTTGGCTCGAAAGAGCATTTCTGATATTAAATGTCATGAATGGTATTTTATGACTTGGGAAGGATATGCAAAGTGTTGATCATTGATCACATGTCAGGGATATACTTAAACAGATAAGAAACAATGTAGGGAGCAAACCTTTCATAATGAGGGCAGATTTCTGTAACAAGCATATCATATCCCAATATTATGGACAGAGGTCCAAGGGTACAAGTTGACTAGTACCCAAAGAGCTGTATTTAGACAGCAGGATTTATTCAAGAGTCATGCATTTATAATTTTAGCTCAAGATTATTATGTACATCTCAAATTTATTCTTTTATTTTCCAAAGTCCTACAAAGTATCCAAGTTCTTGAATTTTATACAAAACGTTGAAAAATATCCTGCATCTGATTTGTGAGTTTGAGAATTTTATGTGGATTAATTTGCTCAATGTTGACAACTTTGAGGTCAGTTTTTTTTCCCCTATCTGCTGTCTACCTTGTTGATAGCTGTTGATTTTACACTTGAGTGAATGCCAAGAAAATAGCCTACAAACTGTTGCAGATAAACAGTATCAAAGTGCAGTTTGGTGATGATGGTCTTTTCCTGTCTATGGACATTTCAAGCTCATAGTCATGGTAAGTGTGACTGTATGTGGGCATAACTGTTCTGTGTCATGTTATTTGTATCATGTTCCCTCACTGTGGGGTGATCCATTTATTAGGTCAGAGTGGGTACATGCAGTCTTGACGTGCCAGTAATGACAACTTATTTTTCTGACGTCAGTGTGCCATAAGGAGTTCCTATGATCGTATCAGGGATTCATAACAAAGTATATCACGCACTTCCAGTAAAATGTCATAATTGCCAACATTTTGTGGAATATCTATGGGTATTAAAAAATGTCAAAACACAGTTCGAGATATTGTTTTTTGCCCATTTTCTATGAGTATACAATTCATGGTAAGCACAACATGAACATTGTGAAATGGCTACTAATAACCTACAAAATGGGTGTAATTATAACTTTTATTCAAGATTCTGTGTTTCGATCACTTTATATTGCTATCTCATTTTTGTTTAGGCAGTGTTACTATTATTTATTTTTAGTTTACATTTTACTAGTTTCATACAAATTTAAAGGAATTGTACAAATGTTCTTAAGCATAAATGCTTTATTTATAGATGTAGAATCATAAGGTCACTTACATAGTTTGTTGTGAATAAACTACTAATACTCTTCATGTTTTGGGTAAATTTAGTTTACAGATGCACTAAGGATTATAAAGTTAGTATGCTTTATAATAATTGTTTTCTTTTAGCTTATTAAATCCAATGAAGTGCAAGAATTCTCATATCACCTTCCAGCCTAATTCAAGGATCACCTCATGCAATGTTAATAATGTGTTTTTTGTGGGAAGAATGTAGGTGTTTCTACCCATAGTTTTATGGAATAGGGAGGGGGTGGGGGTCATCAGCTAAAATCTGATATGAAGATATTAGTGCAAAGAAATGCACTTGTTTGAATTATGGTTTTGCGATTGAAAACCAAAGTGTGATTATTTTCCAGTGTCGATTGTTAATGACATTACACTGCAGATTCTAAATAAAAGTAAAGTTTTTAGACAATAGATGAAGTTAGATGTTGGGTAATCCTTGTGGCAAGATTAGAAAAAAGAAACCTGAAAATATTTGTGTAATGAATCAATTGTTTTGGTTTTAGTTCTTGCCAATGTTCCGAGATGTTTGTCACTTCTTACTACTAATAAACAATAACAAAACCCAGGAATAGATGGGTTTTCGAGTTTGGTGAGGCCATTGACCTGTAGTACAGTATACAGCTTTCTTAAAGAAATCTGTGAAGTTGGTGGTGGTTTTTCACTTAATTTATATCGGTTCTGTGTTCTGCTTAAAAAGCATAACCTTGCCAACCGTTCATTGTCATATACATACTATCCAGGAATGGTTAAGAATTTTGTGGCCGAGCATCCTTGGAAAGGTGCAATTGGCAATTAGTCATCAGTGTACCAGTCCCGTAAAATCTTTATATGGCCGTTTGATATGTGAAATTTGTGGAGGATTTGCCGTTAGTAAAAAGAAATTAAATGTGACGTCTGACTTGTTAATTGATATACTGTATTGCCTTTCAAGTATTTTTAGTGTTCAGTGTACCATTAGAGCATTGTACATTTTTTCCAAGTTACCCAAGCTTGCATTGTCCAAACACGTTAAATATTTGTTGAGCTTCCAAACATAATTTAAAAGTATACAGGTTTTATAAGCTTCCAGATAAAAAAATTAATGTACTTTAGGAAGTTTGGGAAATTGTATAATTTTTCCAGACATGCATCAGAAGGAAAGACCATTATCTTTAATTTATAATAGTGAAATTTTTTAATTTTGAAATGGATCATATGAATAACTAGTTCAGAGAAATTTTTAAAGTTTATTTCAATTAAACTGGGTAAGTTATCAAGAATGCTTTTGAATTCTTCTCTTCTACTAAACCAGGAAGTTTTGGTAACATACTGTAATGTAATAAGTGTATTTTTTAGGAGATTTTAATGCATGTCTTAGCTAAGATGATCTCTGTGGTTTGAGTGACTTCTGCCATGTTGTATTATAACCTTTGTGCAATAGTGCTTATGTGGTGTTGTAAGTGACTTGTGTTCTTGCTGGGGATAATATCAAGCTCCTACTCCCTATTATGCAAGTGAAAGACAAAAAACTTTCCCAGCTTAAGTCCCATAGTCACTCCTAACATCTCCAATTCTGCTGTCACCAGCTCACATATGAACCTATAGTGTAGGAGACATTCTGATGGACCCATATTTTATCTCGTCATAGGAAAAGGACTTCAGAAGTGGGGCCTTGTACAACTGCTGACAAAAAGCACACAATAACTTGTGGCATTTAATGACAATAACACCCAATCAGATCATCAAGGACTCCTCGGTCTCATGCTTGGCAATTGTTTAAAGTTGTGTGCCTCATCTGCCAACATGGACTTCTACCACTATCAATGTATAATTGTATAGTGGATAATCATTATTTTCCACCATTTATATATCTTGAAATATTAAGTTAGACTTGCTATGTTTAGAGTTGACAATGTCAAACCTGTGAGTATCTGTGATTTCTTGAGAGGTGGCAAATGTGTTTGTACAATCTATATTATGTCCTTTTGTGTAAAAATTTACTATATTGTACATGTATATCTTGTTTAGGAGAAAATGTTTCATTTTTCTTAGAGAATGTTCTATATTTCTCTCCCCTAATAGACCATTATTCTTAAGTCCCACTTAAGTAGATAAAAACACTTGCCACCAAGTACTGTATAGGCCTTTCTGCATTATCAAACTAGTTACCTGATCTAGTGTAGTATAGGAAAGTACAGTATATGTATACAGATATGCACAAATCTACTCGGTCAACAGTTTTAGAAGATAAGACAGTCATAGTTAGTTAAATAGTAGTTTCATCACATGCTCTAAAATAGAGGCATGGCCAAAGTACAAGGCGGCAAGAACTAGCACATCTTGAAGTGGGGGGGAAAAAAATCCTATGGAAGTCAACACAGAAGTGCCATGTAATGGGGGGGATCTATTGTCCTGTGTGCACTAGACAATAATCGTGAACCTTAATGTATGGATAGTGTTCAGTGCTGAATAACCTTACTGGTTCCAGTACCCTGCTCAAGGCCCAAATCCTAATTTTCATACGCTAGGGAAGAAGATACTAAAGACATTTGAGAAAGCATCTGGGAACAACTATAATTAATAAATGTTGCCAGAGCACCATAAAAATTAAATTGTAGAGTTCCTGTGCAGTGGTTGTTAACTAGGTTGGTATTTAATTACACGAGTGGAATTTTTGTTAAGCCATTCGTATCATTCATTAGACCAAAGTTGGAATGTGCAGCAGTGATGTGGTGGTCAAACCTAAAAAACATCATTTACTTAGGCAGCATGCTACCTTTTTCTCTTTTCACCCTACCCTCTCCTTCCCTAGGTGGCAGTTTGCTAAGGTGGACTGGAACCTATATGCCCTCAGTGCTGCTCTCTCTGACCTCTCCCTCACTCTCTCCTCCTCTTTCATGACACCGTCTTCGACGCTGCCCTCCGCTCTATTCCTCGCTCTTCCTCTCGGGGTCCATGGAAGTGCGTTCCCTGGTGGAATGCAGACTGTGCTCGGGCTGTCCACTGTAAGCGTGCGGCCTGGAAGAGAGACCGCCGTCGGCAGACGGTCGATTCTTTTCTTTTCTTTCGGAAGGCGAGTGCGGTGGCCCATAGGGCCATCTGTACGGCTAAACATAAATGTTGGGCATCTTATGTCTCCAACATTACGTCCGAAACTCCTCTGCCGCAGATCTGGAAGCATATCAGCAAGATAGCGGGCAAGTTCGCTCCCGATGTCTCACTGGTCCTTCACCTCCGTGGTACTCTTGTGGCGAACCCGTTGCAGGTCGCTACCGAACTGGGTTCCCACTTTTCTTCTGTTAGCTCTGGTTTTCATCTTCCCCCAATCTTTCCTTCTTCGTAAACCTGTCCTTGAATCTCGTCCTTTAGATTTCTGCACTCATCTTCGACTTCCCTATAACGATCCCTTTTCTCTGAACTTCGGTCTGCCCTGGCCCTTTGCGGTTCTACAGCGGCGGGCTCCGATGACATTCATTATGAGATGCTTCGCCATCTTCCTCTGTGCACGTCTCGGTATTTACTGAGTCTGTATAATTGGATCTGGAACTCGTCGTCAGTCCTAGAGGACTGGCTTGATGCCGTTGTCCTCCCTGTTTGCAAACCAGGGGCTCTGGGAACATTCCCTAAGGACTTTCACCCTATTGCCCTCACAAGTTGTCTGTAAACTCTTTTGAACGTATGGTTAACGTTCGTCTGATGTGGTTCTTGGAACACCATCACCTCTCCTCTTCTCAATTTCGTTTCCGCAAGTACCGCAGCACAACAGATGTCCTGGTGAACTTGGAGGTCTATATTCGTACTGGTTTTGCTGCGAAGACCTCCATTGTTGCCGTCCTTTTTGACCTGGAAAAAGCTTAGGACACCACTTGTGGATATCATATTCTATCCCAGCTTCATTCTTTTGGCCTTCGTGGTCATCTCCCTCTCTTTCTCTGCAGCTTCCTCTCTCGTCGTTCCTTTCGGGTGAGGCTTGGTACCGCGCTCTGCCTCTTTTCAGCAATACGAAGGTGTGCCCCAGGGTAATGTTCTGAGCACTACTCTTTTTCTGGTTGCCCTCATTGGTCTTCTTTCCTCTCTTCCTTCAGGCGTCTTTCTCCGGTAAGATCATCTGTCGATGATCTTACCCTTTGCTGTCAGGGTGATGATTCGCCACTCCTTCAACGCCGGCTTCAACTTGCGATTGATGCCGTGTCGTCTTGGGCCACCGATCATGGCTTCAAGTTCTCTACTACTAAGACTTGTCCCATGACTTTTACTCGGAAACGAGTTGTTCTTCGTCCCTCTTTGTCACTTTATGGTCATCCCCTTGAGTACAAAGATTCCGCGAAGCTTTTGGGGTTATTCTTTGACATTCGTTTGTCTTGGTCTCCCCATATCTCTTACCTCTGTGTTGAGTGCTCCAAAGCCCTTACCCTCCTTCAGGTATTGTCCCATACTTCTTGGGGAGCGGATAGTCGCGCACTCCTCGCTTTACATTCCTCTCTTGTCCTGTCTAAGCTCGATTGTGGTTGCCCTGCGTACTCGTCTGCTTCTCCTCCTACTCTCCACTGTCTTGATGCTTTGCACCGTACTGGGTTGCGCCTCAGTTCTAGTGCCTTTCATTCGACTCCCGTCCTCAGCTTGTATGTTGACACTGGCATCCTATCTCTCCAGGACTGCCATGATTGCTACTGTCTTCGCTATCTTGCGCGGTTCTTGCAGCATCCTTCCTCTCGCCTCTGTCATGCTTTAACTTTTGCCCCTCCTGCGGTTCCTGTTCCTCTTTACCACCTCCCCCTTTCTGTCCGGTTATCTCGCTTACAGGATTCTCTTTCAGTTCGTATTTCTAATGTTTCTCCCCGTGTTGTTCCTTCTTTGCCCCCATGGAGAGTCCCCCTTCTGCAGTTTTGTACATCTTAACCCGAATCACTAAAGCTTTTACCCCTCCTACAGTTCTGAAACACCTTTTCCTTGAACACTTTTCTTCTCACTCCCGCTCTGTTTCCATCTTCACCAATGGGTCTAAGTCTGCGGACGGTGTTGGCTACTCTGTTGTTTTTCCCGATTGCACTTATGTGTGTCGCTTACCTCCGGAGACTAGCATCTTCACAGCGGAACTTTATGCTATTCTCTCTGTTCTTCGTGTCCTGCTTTCTCGTTGTCAATCTTCCTTTGTTGTTGTTGTTGACTCTCGTAGTGCCCTCATAGCTCTCGGGTCCTTTAATCCGGTTCATCCAGTGGTTGTCAAGATCCAGCATTGGCTGTTTCTTGTTCACAGTAAATTTAAGTCGGTTGAGTTTTGTTGGATTCCCAGCCATATTGGTGTCTCTTTAAATGAGCGTGCAGATGCTGCCGCCAAGGAAGCTGTCCGCTCTTGTCCTGTCTCTTGTAAAGTTATTCCTTATTCCGAATTTTACCCGGTTATCCATTCCTCAATCCTTACCCATTGGCAGGCTTGTTGGTCGTCTGTTACTGGTAATGAACTACGTTCTCTTAAGAGTTGTCCCCCCTCATGGCCGTCCTCCTACCACCGTAACCGGCGATGGGAAACGGCTCTGGCGAGGTTGCGTATTGGCCATACTCGCTTAACTCATGGTCACTTGATGGAGCTTTATTTAAACTAACAATTGAACTTACAAGAAATTAACACAAAAGCCTCATATATACTCCATTGAAGAAACATGCGTATAGTATTTTTTATAAAATGAGAGCAAATCAAAAGGCACAAAATAGATGGGCAGTTAATTACTAGGGTCAACTGAAAATGGGACTCGTAAAATCTTGACATGCCGGCAACATGTTTTAGGTTATTGGGTAAGGGAAATTGCAGAGGAGCCAGGGTGTCACAAGGCACCATAAGAAGGTAGGATGTGACAGGAAGGTCGGGGACTATAATTTTCTCCTTGAGAAAGGATGTAGTAGAAAGGAATGTTTGTAACGTCAATGTAGCTAACAATATCTTCAAGTTGTTAGCTAGGTGAGGGGTGTCTGATGGAGAAAATTGTGAGAGAGCCCGAGATGTGGGTGAACATCAGCTGTGACAGTGTAGATAGCAAGACCAGCCAGGATGAATAGGAGGCAAAGAGGCTTGGGTGTAAAGCTCCAAGGGATACCACACCAGCAAATGGGGAAACTGAAACACAAGGCAACATGGAGTTACAGTAGTATGCTCATAGGGAGTGAGGAGGGCACACAAGGAAACCTTGCCAAGTAGTACACTGGAGGACCAATAGCCAAGGTTGTTTCAGGCCTAAACATGATACTGAGGAGTCTGTGGTGTAGTGGTCGCACGCTCATCCAGGGCTTAACAAGCAATTTCACCTGGGTTTAAGCCCAGATCAGGGAGGGTTAATGCCAATCCTCAACTGTCTGCCCCTATTCACTCTACAGTAACTGGGAAAACGGGTTGTAAAGTAATTGGCAGGACATGGTTGAGGGAATATGACTCGCTAGGGTAAGGCTTAATGTAAGCTGTGGGAAGGGTCATCTTAATTTTTTTTTTCTTTTATTAAGTGGAGCACCAGTAAAAGAAGAGGGCGAGGATAGTGTTCAAGTGGTGCAAGCATATTTTGTTTGAGAAAATGCCTGGCATTTTGACACCTTGCCTTGGAGAAGGGATGATTGCCCTTGAATTTCAGGTGGAAGCTGAATAGTTCCATCATATAATGAAAATATGACCAAGATAATGCAGGGTAATTTGTCACAATTTATGCAACATGCAAAGGGGTAAAGTACAAAATGAATTGAGCATGGGTGGATTCACCAGAAACAGAGCAGAAAGTCAATGCATTCCCACAAAAGCTCCATGTCTTAAAATTTTCAGTGCATATTTTACTTATGTAGGGAGGGGACATATCCTTGAGCATAGCATTTGATCACCCTGAGGATTAGTGAGGGGGGGAAAGCTTCTATTACCTACATTAATATAAGTAATTACCAAAAGAAGACACCAAGCCAGGAAAACTATAGTCTACAATAATGTAATTTTTGCTACACAGAGCTGGCAAGATTGTTTCCCACAAGGAAAACCGTGCGAGTGTCAACCTGGACAAGGATGCCTGAATGCCTTAGAATTCAGAAATGGTTTACCATGATTGTGAGTCCTAATTTGAAAATGAGTGCCAGTGTTACTCGGTAGTTCAAACACATTTTGGGTAGCTGTCACCGAGGTCAAATTAATGTGAAGCAAATCTGTTGGCCTGTTCCTGAGACTGGATGTTGACTACATGCTTACCAGAGCATCAGTATTGAAAGATAACATTAGATCAGGCAGAACATAGCATATTAATTTGTTTCAAATGATTGATATTGACTGTTTTGGTTGAATAAATTATATAAAAAGAACTTTGTTCATTTCGGGAGTTCAAACACGTTGTGTACAATGCCAGTATTCAAGGTTGCAACCCGTTCTCGCAAATTTAATAAGACAATATTGACTTATTAAATATGTGCATAGGTGACATACTTAACATAATAGATACCCTTAAAAAGATTCATAGAAAACACCGACCTTACCTAACCTACTTAGTATGTTAAGATAAGCATCTTATTGCTTCGTAATTACAATTATTACCTAACCTATAATAGGTATAGGTTAAGTAATAATTGTAATTACGAAGCAGTAAGATGCTTATCTTAAGATATGAACAGGGTTAGGTAAGGTCGGTGTTTTCTATGAATCTTTTTAAGGGTATCTATTATGTTTAGTATATCACCTATGCACGTAGTTAATAAGTCAATATTGACTTTACGAATTTGCGAGAACGGGTTGACCAACTACATGTATAGTATTTCAGGAATGCACCACAGAAGTCGAGCATAAGTAAGGATCAAGGTCCAACACAGATGCAGCCATTAGTGAGCTACTGGCATAAGGGGGAGTAGACCTTCGAGAGGGGTACAACATGTAGGCCTGGTTGCCTGCCACATGAGACTTAAGAAAATAATGTTGCTTCTATAAAAAGAAATTAGACAATATGGTTGGATCCCAGAATATGAAACACCATTTAAAAGTGTAGGTGGGGGTTATCTGCACGCGCCAACACAGAACAGGGTACCTCTTCTCTAGTTCCACTTCCTCCTTTAAATAGGTAAAACCACTGATATAAATAAAGCAACCGAGAAATAAAAGAACCCTTCCTATACTCTGACCTGAACATCCATTCATCCAAACAAAACTGCCTCCCAGATGACCCCTCTAGCAGGTAGGCTAGAGGGTCCAAGCAGTAAGCCTAGCACAGTTGGCACCTTAGCTGCATGCTGCTCCAGCAAGCAGAAAGAGAATAATTCACCCTCAAATGTCTGGAAATGGCAAGCAGACTCCATTGCCTTGTTGAGGCAATGCCCAGTCATTGTAGCTAAGCATAATTGTGTATTTAATATTAATTTGGTTAATGCATGATGACAATGCTTACTCCTCTTTGAAGACTTGAAACAATCACAAAAATATAAATGCTTTCTTTAGTTTCTAAATTTGTAAGACAACTACAGAATCAAAGAATAGAACTTTATACAAAATCCTCTACAAATCACAAATCTTATTTTTGTTGGTACTGTACTGAAGAAAGATGTATTTCATATTAACAAACATCTTTTTATGATCAATTTAGTCTATGGCCTTTTTGCTTAATAACAATTGTGTTCAAATAATGCTATGCAAAAAGAAGGTTAATTACAAGCACTGTACAACAAATTTTTACTGAACACTTTCCTTAGCATTTTTTATGCAACACATTTTTTTTGTCACTTATAGACTTCAGTATACATTCTTAGCAATTAATTCAACATATTTAGAAAAGAAAACAAAAACTTTTATACAATAAAGTAACAATTTTTTTTTTTTTAGCAGGGTTAGATTTTAGGCATGCAAACTATAACTTGTTAAGATCATTCACTGCTGTAACCTGGACCGCACCACAGAGGACCGTTTCTAGTTTCATATGTGAGCTATAATCATAAAGTAAGAAAAGCTAAATAAACACTTATTTGATTACCAGAGCTAACATAAAACAGCATCAACTTCACAACCTAATAACAGATCTTCCAAATTACATTTGTTTGCTTGTCTGAAAATTCCATAGCAACTTTAGTACATTGGCTGTGTGTGACTATCATTAAGTACATTTAATGTCAGTATGCAGGACACATCAGCATAATGCCAAAGTATGCAGACCATAATCAATAAGCAAACATAATTAATATTCTCAAATAATAATATAATAAAAAGTAAGAGCGAAGACTTAACTGGGTTGCTACATGGGAGGCAAGATCCCTGGCCTGAGTTGTGTGCAGTGTAATACATTTTACAAGGAACTTCTATTACAAGAGAATACATCTACTGTCACATCATGAAGGCAAGGTTAAATCTGGAATAAAATTATGTTATCATCTAACAAACTGACATTAGTTTGAATGCAATTAATAACTTATTATTCCCAAAAGTCCACAGGAGAAATGGACAATAGATAATGGAAATCAATCTTATCTAAGCATTAATTTACTCAATCTAGCCTAAATGAAGTGTGACAGCTCTACCCTTGAATAATGTACTAACTGCATCTTACAAAGAATGATTTATAAAAAAATATTGAAGTCATACAATAGGATGGAACCCACACCCCCTGAATGGCTCAGGCACAAGCATCTTCAGTCAAGGGTCCAATCCTATTATATGGCTTCAATATTTTCTCATATACTGTATACTGTATCATGTTCTTGTGAGTTCACTTTTGCAACGATTGATCAGTCTTACAAATGTAGTAACAAGATGAGGAGAGTGGAACAACAATCTTAAATTAACAATATTGAAGGACCCAACAGTTGAAAAGTATGAGCTGCTCATTCTCCCGAGTGTTCCCAATATCACTGAACAGTTGTACCAAGTTGCCCGAGACTAACCTACCCGAGGACCTGCGAACAGAAAACAGGACATCACATCAATTTCACGAGCTTTACCATTTTCAGTACTGTAAATCAGTTTTTAGCTGTAGGAGATATTATACGTCAAAATGGGATGTACCATTCAGGAGAACAGATTGGTATGTGAGCTTATGAGCGGCGAAATGAAGCTCAGCCATCAATTGTATGTCTAGGTCATTCTTTGGACAAGACTTTACAATTTAATACTCATAATTTTGGCATTACAAAACCCAAAAAATCCTAGGAATAGCATTATTAATTTTTTTGTAGAAACAATAAAATTGTATTTCATAGTTTTAAAATTATTTATATTATAAAATTTATATTCTATTTTAATAAAACAATTTTTCTCTATAAAACTTGCAATAATGTCAGCAAAAATTATATATTTTGATATACTGTACATCAGATATTGCCATTCAACATGCAAGCTTCCTCCATATGTCTCAATATTAAAACAGGTAACTACAACACTAAATACAACATAGTTAAATTTAGGAACATGGGCCCCTATGTTGCACAGAAGTCTATTTTGTAAATAGCTTGCAAAACAATCTCATTTATAGGCCTAGTGCATTGAACCTTTATTATATCCTAATATTTCTTCCAAATGTTATATAGATCTAGTGGCTCGGTGTTTTCTCCTGATTATTACCTTACTTTACCTTGCATTCCACTCTCTTTTCTAGCACCTTTTAAAATTAGATAATGTTTTCCTACTATTGTCTTGCTTGTTGCGATGTTTCCTTAAAAATACAAGTTGTTATACCCTGCCATATTAAAAAAAAAATTAAAAAAATTCAGTCACATGAGAACAGCTGGCAAACTGCTCACACTTCTAACTTAAGTAAAGAAAACAGTACATAAACAACACTTAATAGACCACACACAACTTATAAATTATGTGTAAAAGAATTAAAGAACTCTAATAAATAAAAGAGATCTTAGGGGGCCTGACGGCTGAGTGGATAGCGGTCAGGATTCATAGTCCTAAGATTCTGTGTTCGATCCCCAGTGAAGGCAGAAACAAATGGGCAGTTTCTTTCACCCTGATGCCCCTGTTCACCTAGCAGTAAATAGTTGGACAGCTGCTATGGGCTGCTTCCTGGGGATGTGTAACAAAAAGGAAGCCTGTTCAAGGCCCAGGCTGCAGGGACGCTAAGCCCTGAAATCATCTCAAGATAACCTCAAGATAGGGTGGGTTTGGATAGTAAACTATTACCAGAGGAACATATAAATTAGATTGTGCGACAAGTGAATGAATTGCTTTCCAACTTCAGACTCGCTTTTAAGTACATGCATGTTGAAATACTAAAGAAACTTTTATGACTTTTGTGAAACCAAAATTGGAATATGCAGCAGTTGTATGGTGCCCATATCTCAAGAAGCCCATCAGTAAACTGGAAAAGGTGCAAAGACATGCTACAAAATGGCTTTCAGAACTGAAAAACAAGAGTTACAAGGGAAGGCTAGAGGGGTTAAATATGCCAAAGCTTGAAAATAGATGAAAAATAGGTGATATGATCACCACTTACAAAATAATAACAGGAATCGACCAAATTGACAAAGAGGAATTCCTAAAACCATCAGCTTCAAGAACAAGAGAACACAGATTTAAAGCTAAGGAAACAAAGGTGCCAAAAATATTTGAAAGTTATTTCTGCACACAGTGGTAGACGGTTGGAACAAATTAAGTGAGAAGGTGGTGGAGTCCAAAACCGTCAATAGTTTCAAAATGTTACATGACAAGAGTACAAGGGAAGACAGGACACCACAAATGTAACTCATTCTGTAACTACACTTAGGTCATTACACCTGGGTAATTACTTGATGTAGCCACACTAGGCCTCAACACCTTCAACTACTGTAAACTATAACTGTAAAACCAACTGATGCATATATTTGAAACTACATTTTCCTATGTTTAATAAATATTTTGGAACAGTATATAAATATACAAATGCTATATTGTACCTTTTTTCATAGAATACTCCATTGATGCATTAAAACACTTTCAATATTTGATTAATTGTTGCGCAATAAACTACAGCCAGATATTGTTTACACTGCCATAAATAAGTAATATCTGCATATCCTTGTGTTTCTAGTTGATGTCTAGCTGTATTTGTTACCTCAGTAAGGAAATTATATACTCTTACACACTCTTTATGTCCTTTTAAAAGCCCATCAAGACAAAAACAAGTTTGTTGACAAATACTACATACCTTGATGAACAAACAACCAGAGACTCCTGGTTCATCCTTAATGAGGAGCGGATGTCTGGACACCTGCTCTACTTGGGGCCCGCCAGAACCGATGATGCAATTTTTACCCTTTGGGTTTCGATACTGCAGTCAAGCATTTCTATTCAATGGCCTGGATTGTTACGACACGTGGTGCACTTATCGCCCGGGGTCACAGGAAGTTGCCAAGATTTTAAATGTTTTCGAGCTGGTTCCTTGGGTGAAGAGACTGTATCCGGTGCTGACTTTGTCAAGAGTTGCCAGGAGTTGGTGGGTCTTGGTGGGCTCCTGGTGTGCTCTCAAGGCATGGTGGGTGGGTGGCTTTTGCTCTGCTGGAGGGCACTGGAGGACTTTTTTGCAATTTTGCTCATATGGTTACAAATTTAGGAGAGGCCAAGTTTTTGCCTTGACTACTCAGTGTAGGTAGGGGGCTTTCCTCTCTGCAGGACTCTTGGAGCTCCTCAATCATCTGTCAATCAGCGTGTTTCTTCGCCATAAGGCGCATTCATTGTTCCCCAACAGGCAACATTCATTTAGCCATACAGCTTTTTTATTTACCTTTTAAGGGTACACCAGGGGCACATACAGGACCTCTGCCATCGTGGTCCCTAAATAAACAACAAATAAACCACCATATGATATAAGACTGTGCATTATCACATATGAGGTCACTTCATATACAGCATTTAACTTTTAGATGTACCTTGTCTTGCTAAATTCATAGCATGGAGACACATACAAGGTATTCTCTATAGACGGTACCTGCTGACCAACTACTGTATATACCAAGTGATGATGTCTCAAACAGTAACACCTGAAATACACACTGGAACATTTCCACTTGGTGCACCAGTGGAAAGTTTTGTCTGGAGTTTGCTCACCTTCCGAAAGTGGTACGCACACACCAACTTGTGTTACAAATATGTTTTGACTTTATTTAAATGTCATTCAATATTTCTCAAATGACATTAATCTTAAATGCTTTACACATGAGATGTTGGTTTATCTAGTAATGTACAGTGAATAAAATAATTATTGCATCTATAGTATGGAGAACAAACTTTACTACCAGCACTCCATATCTGAAAAGACTTCCTTAACAAGTATTCAAAATTTGCAAGAAAACGTTAACAAATTAAATTTAGTAGGAGACTATGCCAACATTATTTTTTGCAATATTTAAAGCACTTTATTTATTTGCGGCATCTTTTAAAGTTGTATGATTACCAATTCAAAAACATTAAATATAATGCCTTGATGCTTAACCATTTTACAAAAAACTTTAAATATTTATACTGATATTCAATATCATCATCTTTCTTTTCTCAGGAAGGAAAGATACTGGGACAGGCCCGTGTACAGAGTCTTCATCAAATATAATACAAACCACGAAGGAATGGATGGCCTCCACGAGTTCAATTACAGTACTGTACTTATAAATGGACGCAAGTAGACAAATACACATCAAGTCTATATTAGATTATTTCAAACAGGTTATCATTAAATAGTCAATATTTTAAATACTGTATTGAAACTGATTCATCACTCAAGGGGCTTGTTAGTCATAGGTACAAGAATACAAGTTCAATACTGTACCAGTACTGTAATGCACTGTATTTAGATTCATGCACACAAATGTAAAATTTTATTTAATTACAGTATATATACAAAAACTATATAAATAAAAATGTAAATGTTCGTTTGTTCAAAATCGCTAATTTCCAAAAGATCTTCACTGATTCCTTTTAAGTACCCCGCTCGATGCGCGCGCTACTTAGTCGGTTAGTCTCCAAATCATGGTAATACATTTTCTTCTTCGCAGAACTTCACCACTTTGTTGTGAAAGCAGTGACTATTTTTCATATGAGGGAAATCTTCTAAACCTCTTTACCGATTGCTTTGAAATTTTGACACAATGTTGCATTCGAATAGGTACGTGTTTTTATATGCCAACTATATACATGCCTCCCCACCTGTGACAGGAAAAAACATGTTTTTTTTAAAAACAGTGCTATCTGTTGGACGTATGAGTAACACACGGTGTAATCTCTGAAAGTGCTTCGCCTATTGCTTTGAAATTTTGACACAACGTTCCATTCAAATACGCACGTGTTTTTATATACCGTCTATATAGATGCCACACCTGTAATGGGTAAATTTTTTTTTTTTTTTAAGAATAGTGCCATCTGTTGAACATAAGAACAACACACGCTATACTAAATATGTTACGATTCCATTTCAATGTATCCGATTACATTGATAAATTGAATTTTCATACATTTTGATTTAATTATTTTGTGTGACATTGCATTGGAATTGAGCTGTGCTGTTTACCATACCATTCATTTCGTAAGTATAAGTATTGATGCCACACGTGTGACACGTAAAAACTTTTTTTTTAAAACAACGGTGCCATCTGTTGCATGTAAGAGCAACACATAATATACTAAATATGTTACGATTCCATTTCAATGTTTCCGATTGCATTGACAAATTGAATTTTCATAGATTTCGATTTATTTTCGTTTTGATATAATTATTTAGTGTGACACTGCATTGGAATTGAGCCATGATGTTTACCATACTGTTCATTTCACGAGTATAAGTATGGATGCCACACCTGTGACAGGTAAAAATATTAATTTTTTTTTTAAAACAACAGTGCCATCTATTGCATGCAAGAGCAACACACGCTATACTAAAGATGTAACAAGTACTTTTCAATGTTTCTGATTTCATCGATAAATTGAATTTTCATAGATTTCTATTTATTTTAATTTAATTATTTTGAGTGACACTGAGTTGGAATTGTGCTGTGTTGTTTACCATACCGTTCATTTCATGTATAGTTTATTTATTTGTTCATTTTGTTTTTTTAACTGTTTTTCTTATATTTCAGTGATGGGGAATATCATATCATTTGATGTTCCCAATTTTCTGATGGGAACATCAGATCATTTGGGAATGCATCGGATGAGGGAGTGGGGAATGATGGGGAGGACGAGGTGATGGAAGTGGGGGAACGGTAGGGAGGTGGTAATGGTGAGGAGGATGAGGAAACGGGAGTTGGGGATGGTGGGGACGAGGGGACAGGGGAATAGGGGAGTGGGTGATGGTGGGGAGGACTAGAGGATGGGGGAGGGGGAAATGGTAGGGAGGACAAGGGGACAGGGGGGTGAGAGATGGTGGGGAGGATGAGGGGATGGTGGAGTGTGGAATGATTAGAAGGACGAGGGGACGGTGGAGTGGGGGATGGGGGAGTGGGGAATGCTTGGGAGGATGAATGGACGGGGGAGTGAGGAATGGTTGAGAGGACAAGGGGATGGGGGAGGGGAAAATAATAGGGAGGACTGGGAGACGGGAAGGTTGCTGTGGCTCAACAACGCACATGCATTGTTGAGCCACAGCAACACATGGTCGGGTACAGCTAGTATTTAATATAAATGTACTGCACATTTTTTTGGGTGCCAACGGATCCAAGATAGAAGTTACCAAACCTCCCTATTTCTAGGTCCCAAACCACCAACAGGGCAGCTCCTGGACAACCAACTGGACACAACCCAGACCACTGCAACCTAGAAAAACCAAGACACAAAGCAGTTGCTGTCTGAGAAGACCAAACCCCATCAGGTGGGCCACAAGGAAGAGCAAGCCCTCACAGGACCCTGGGAACAAAGGTGTCACCGACACAACAGGCAGCATGGCGGAGGCAGACAGACTGAATGTTGTCATGTAACATGGACGATGAGAAACCATCAAGCTCTCCCAAGTCAGGAGCAAAATTAGTGGGGATATCCATGGACCACCAAACCTGCAAGGAAATTTCCCAAGCCTGAAGGAATTGACCAAGCAGGACACCCTGGCACTGGGATGCTATGCTGGACCCTTAGATGAAGGATGCCTGCAGCAACACAGCCCTGACCACATAGCTGTACAGGCCAACTTCAGCATGTTATAGTGAAGCACCCAGTGAACCTCAGCCAATCAATGTCACTTTCAATCTAAATAAAGGCATGAACATCCCAAGGCACCCAACTAACCTTGGGTGAAGGCCACCACAAGCGAGGAGGACCTATAAGGGAGTGACTCCAAAACACACCAGAGAAGAAAACCCTGGCAGCACACAATGAAAAGAACCCTGTGCATATGCAGTGCCAAGCACTTTTAACTCCTGGCTCAAGCTACATCAAAGTGTACAGGATCAGCCACAAGGTCAAACCACAACCACCACTTAACTGAAAAGCAGAACACTGGAGCCAGGACAGCAGAGGTGACCTGGCACACACTACACATCAGCATAGAAACATAACTGGGGTGGAGTAGCAGGCTGACCGTGGGCTGCCTCCCTCCCTCCCCACAAATGAGTGAGGGAGATAGGGAGGCAAATGATGGGGCTCATTTGGAGAGTTTTCGATCGCTTATTCACATACAGTAGTTCAGGGAGTTCTTTCATTGGCTTTCTAAATTGTGGTCTCTATTCAAGCCAGAAGTGGTCTGTTTTCTTTCACTGACTTTCTGGTTAATTCCTGGTGGTGGCATAAATAATGCCATGGCTCCTTGTGCATTTATGAGGGGGGCCAGATTCTGGTGCTGATTCCTCGTAGGCCTATAGAACTCAACAACTGATGTGATAGAGTAAATGGAATACTAATTTTGATAAGTGTGGAGCCACAAGGGGCTCCCACCAGAAAAGTGAACTTTTTGAAGTGTGTGAAAGTTACCCTTTGTACAATTAAAGTATCTTTAAGCAGGTTTTGTTTTACAGGAATCTAACCTATGCAGAAATCAAGGACCACTCATACAGAAGTTTAGTCCAAACCAATGTGAAGTAATGAGATTTGTAACAGTATTATTACAATAATCCAAAAATTAAAAGGACCTAAGTGTGGATATCTTACCAGCTATAACAGAGGCTCATATAAATGTAATAAAGCCAGCAACATGTGCAAAACTAGCAAATAAACATGACAATCAGAAACCTAGCATACCTTAGTCTAGTCCTGGAAAGCACAGCAACAACATGAAGTAAAAGACCCAGGAAATTTTGAATATTCAAAGATATGCTTAAAGTCTTGCAACAGAGATTAGAGATGAACTAAGAGAACAGGCTAATAGAAGGGAATAAATCTAATGAAACTAGATGGGAGAAGGACCACATGATTACAATGCATAAGGTGAAGTTCGGCAGCAGAATGAGGGGGCTCAAGTGAAATTGGAAGTCCAAATAAGCTAGAAAGATTCAAGAAAATACTAGTATGCAGGAAGTGTGGTAAACAAGCAATTATCAAAAGAAAGCACCAAAACTATTTAACACCGTGATGCAGAAGACACAAAGTCCTCAATATCATTCATGATGCCAATGTGATGGCAAAAGGACACAAGATGAGTACTATCAAAAATATCAAATCCACCAAGGATCTTATGGAGGGACAAGCAACTCGAAGAAGCAATGGGAAAACAAGATTTTTATCATTCTGAAAATCAGGAATCTATAAAGAGGTGCAAGAGACTGCAGTTTGGACAATAAGGTACAGATCTTTGTTCAATTAAGTGCCCACAAGCAAAGCATGTGTGGTCAGTAAGCAGCCTAGCCAGAGCCATTTCCCACCTTTCATGGAGGTAGCAGGAAGACCTCAGGAATAGGCTACATTTAATATTATGCAGGTTACCAAGAAAACGCGTTAATTAAAGTGATACAGTACATCAACGAACAAATCCACAAGGGCCTTGATGAAGGTTCGAACCTATGCGCTGGGTGTTCCCAGGCATGCCCTAGCAGACTGCACCACAACATGGTAAAAGAATTGCAACCTGGGGTATTACTGCACCCACAAGGGTCCTAAGGCTTCCACCGAAGCCTAACCGGGGAGTCACACAATTCCCCATATACTCGGGCTCTGTGACAGTGTGCAGACAGTGCAGAAAGTCACATTCAGTTATTCGTCTTACTTTGGCTACTTTCTCCCAATATTTCTGTATCCATTGTCATCGTCAAAGAACAGCACCACTCCCAAATACAGTAGCTAAAATTCCTTAATTACCTCTAATACTTTTACTCATTTCAATATCTCGTCCCATTTCAAATTACTCATGGAGGGGGTAGAGAAAAGTCTGCCACCTTCCACCTTTCTTAAGCACCACCTTGCTTTTATCCTCATTTAACCATAATATTCTTGGATTTCAGTGTAGAATTAGTAAAGACTGGTTAACAGGAACCATGTACAGTACCACCATCCAGCTCCAGCAGGAACCATTTACAATATTCCCATCCAGCTCCAGCAGGAACCATGTACAGTACCACCATCCAGCTCCAGCAGGAACCATTTACACTATTCCCATCCAGCTCCAGCAGGAACCATGTACAGTACCACCATCCAGCTCCAGCAGGAACCATTTACACTATTCCCATCCAGCTCCAGCAGGAACCATGTACAGTACCACCATCCAGCTCCAGCAGGAACCATTTACACTATTCCCATCCAGCTCCAGCAGGAACCATGTACAGTACCACCATCCAGCTCCAGCAGGAACCATTTACACTATTCCCATCCAGCTCCAGCAGGAACCATATACAGTACCACCATCCAGCTCCAGCAGGAACCATTTACACTATTCCCATCCAGCTCCAGCAGGAACCATGTACAGTACCACCATCCAGCTCCAGCAGGAACCATTTACACTATTCCCATCCAGCTCCAGCAGGAACCATGTACAGTACCACCATCCAGCTCCAGCAGGAACCATTTACACTATTCCCATCCAGCTCCAGCAGGAACCATGTACAGTACCACCATCCAGCTCCAGCAGGAACCATTTACACTATTCCCATCCAGCTCCAGCAGGAACCATGTACAGTACCACCATCCAGCTCCAGCAGGAACCATTTACACTATTCCCATCCAGCTCCAGCAGGAACCATGTACAGTACCACCATCCAGCTCCAGCAGGAACCATTTACACTATTCCCATCCAGCTCCAGCAGGAACCATGTACAGTACCACCATCCAGCTCCAGCAGGAACCATGTACAGTACCACCATCCAGCTCCAGCAGGAACCATTTACACTATTCCCATCCAGCTTCAGCAACTCTCAACTTCATACATAGTTCTCTTGATAACATGAATCTGAGACAATTTAAACAAAATGTGACTGTTATGGCCGTTAGTTTATATGATTGCTAATCTGGCTGAGTAGGAGACCAAACTGGATAAATAGACAATAATAAAGATCACCATTTCTGAAATGGAGTATAACATAAAATGGCCGAACACTAACAAATTGGATTATAAATAATTACAGTATGACTGTACAGTTAAAAAGATATATGTATCACTAGTGAAGATAATCAAATAGTGAAGGAAGCCATTCAAAATTATTCTTCATCAGCGAGTGATGAGACAAGGCATTCTAAAAATAAATTTAATACAAGAATAATTTTTTTATTTTTATATTAAAAATTAAATTTAGCCATAAAATTTCAGTAGCAAAATATGCATATATCAGTTCCAGTATTTGCAATAATAAAACTTGTTTTGCCTCTAAATGGATAAACGCGTCGCCTTCAAATCACAGTACGTTAGATAAGGTCATGCGTGCGTTTTATTTATTTCTAAAATATTAAGAGAATATTACACTCTGGGTCCTGTGGTGCGGTACGAGCGCAGTCAGTTGGTACCCAAGAGACCCCAGGTTCTCAATTCCAGCAACAGGACAGAAGTGTTTAAGCAACATTTTTGTTTTTCATCTGATGCCTCTGTTCCCCTAGCAGTAAGAAGATAAACAAAAGTTTGGCAATTTATTTGGGTTGCATCCTGCTGACATCAGCAGTTGGCCCAGGGAGGGGGATAAGCCTAACAGGCTTCCTGTTTTCAACTTCAAAAACCCTTTTGTAACATGACCTACATCAGAGCTTTCACTAGTCTCCCATTCAGTCACATGCTTTATATGCAAATACCACACACACCATGAACACCTTCAAGCTACTCGTCATTTTCAGGGTTCGGGAGTCATTCACCAAAAGTAAACACAATAATTATCTTATAATTAGCCAGTATACCACATAAGTAAATGCTGTATTGCACTCAAAGATGTAATGGATCAATTTTACCACATTCTTTTTGTTTATAATATATACACACATATACATGCACTTAATTAAGTCATGCTAAACCAGATGATGATGATGATGTGCCTAAAGTGATATCTAGCACCAGGCAGCAATCAAACTAAAAACCAGCAATTACTTTTTGACCACAAGTTATATACCTCATGAATTTTCATATTTTTAAAGAAAAATATCCTGGAACACTTAAAAATCCAGAACAACCCTATAAAGTACTGCAACAAGTGTTCTATTCAAATTGTTAAAATTTTTGCTGTTAAAATGAATGTCATTAGTACTGAATGTTATATATTGAATGTCAATACATAAAACTTCTGTTGTGCATTGGTCATAAATTGCCTCCGGGAAATTGTTGTTCCTTTACATCAGTTCTGATTAAATCCATTCAGATTTTAACTTTGTTCCATTTCATAATGTCTTGACTGACATTTCCACAGAATTTGAACAGCCATTGAGGTATGTTTTGGCATTTATCAAGACAACCAACAAAACATTGTCACCAGCAGGCAACTTCCATCAGTGGAAAATATTAAAATACTGCACTATTTCTTGTCCTCATATTTCCTCATCCTCATATCCTCATCAAACTATAAACACAGTACATATTGGAAACTTTTTATGGTTCTATTCCTCCTCTTGAATGGTTTTATTTATCAGAAAGTAAAAATGAAAGAAAAAAAAAGTCACTAAAAACTACATATTGTTTACATGTTATGTTTACAAAAACAGTATCCCAGGTACTGGCCTGAGGGTACCATGCGTAAGCTCTGGGAAGCCACCGAGGGTTTGGGTGGGAACAGAGGGGCACCTTAGATAGAGGCCTTTCATTATACTTAATACTATATTTTTGTTCTAATCAGAATTTTATGCACTATATATAATACAAAAATCACATGTTTTACTTATTAAAGCTAGCATTCTGGGCTGTTTTGTCCTCTAATTACTGGCATAAGGACACAGTCATGCACTATTATATACACCACTAAAGTTGAGCCTCGGTAAATGTTTAAAAGTGTTGCTGCTGGCTTAGATACCTGGTGTTGAGATGGCTTGCTGATATACTGTATGAGAAAATTCTCAATGTGCACTCCTGATTTGAATGCAGAGAAAGATGACCAGGTACACACAATGAAAGCAACTTTTCTATATCACAAAGTCAAGCTTTCATAGCAACATTTCAAACTGTACATTTAAAATTAATGAATGGAATTATAAATATAAAAAATAATGAAAATAAAACTGTAAAATAGCAACATTAATTCAAAAGATAAATTTATTTTGTAACATCTTCCAGTAAACCATGCTCCATGAAACTGGGTTCAACCATAAAAACAAAATGCAAGGGACTATCTTAGAGACTTAAGACCCAGAATTGTTTCCAATAAATAATATTCAACAGGTAAAAAAATTATGCAACTATAATTAAGATATGGAAAAATTTGCAAGAAAGTGCATGAAAGCCCTGGCAAAAAAAAAAAAAAAAAAAAAAAAAAAAAAAAAAAAAAAAAAAAAAAAAAAAAAAAAAAAAAAAAAAAAAAAAAAAAAGTATTCTAATGTTAAGACAGACATTAACATAACATCTTCAGTTACTTTAATTATATGTACTAGCAAAACCAGGAACACATATAAAAAGGAACAATAATAGTTTGGCAGTGCTGTCAAGAATGAGGAAAATAGCGAGTGGTTCCCTTATGCAAATATATAACAGTAAAAAAAATTCATCATTTATTAACGATAAAATTCTTTTCTTTCATTTTAACAAATTAATACTGAGATGGACTAACAGTTATATAAAACACTGAGTAGAAAAGGAAAAGATATTGTCAAAAGCCCTTCACAATCTCTATCATAAAACGATAAACATTTGACACCATGCTTGAACGTGGTATACGCGGCAACTTCTGCCTTTCATCACTGCGTCTTTTTGGACGTTCCTCGGTTCTTCCACGCCAGGATGAGCTTCCAAGCAAAGATCAGGGTGAAGATGTGAACCTGCATGGATACCATGATAAAGCAGTACCACAGAACACACACTGGATAGCCCTGCAAAATAAAATTAAGGGATCAATTAATAAACCTCAAGTGTTTATGAGTCTATGAGAACCTCCAGTAAACTTCCATATAAGAGAGAAAGAATTGACCTTTCAGAACCTGACTTGTTAGGTCTGTAGCAATTGCAAAGCAATCTTTGTAGTCCAAAATGTATTTTTTTTTTCAAAATATTATAGCAATGAAGTCCCTAAGAGATGAACACTAAAACCACTTAATGAATGATTCCTAAAGGTAACTATGGTATATTTTGAGGTTGCATTCCAAGCTGGCAACTGTAAAAAACTTGTAAACTGTACCCTAATTACTACACTCTACCCATATATATGTACCTATATCAATGAGTATATACTTTTTTCTTAAAGACTGTCATTGCTGCCATATGTATTACCACTTTTGTGGTCCGGCTTCTTCATATGTTCTCAACTAAATATCCATAAATATGGGAAACCTGCAGGGCATTGATCAAATGCAGCTTTCCAATATTTCAGAAAGGAGTAAATTCAAAGCAAGGTACAAGTAATTATCAAAGAAGGCACCAAGCCAGAAAGACTATGTAGCACCATCAAATGTGCGGGATAATCAGAGGGCGCTAAATATTACTGAGGATGCCAATATGAGAACAGAAACGTCCAAGGCGAACGATATAAAAAATATCCGATTCACCAAGAATTCTATCGAGGGACAAGTGACTGCGGGGGGACGGCCGGAAAGCAAGACACGCTCGTCTTGGAAGTCAGGACATTCAACAAGGATATGCACAACTGCAAGAGGGACAATAAGGATTAGGATGGCGCTCATTTAAGTGTCCACAAGTTAAGTTCGTACGGCCAATATGCAACCTTGCCAGACCCGTTTCCCACCGCTGGTTACGGTGGTAGGAAGAAGGCCACAGGGACACACTACTCTTAAGAGTACGCAGTTAGTTACCAGTAACAGAAGACCAACAACCCTGCCAACGGGCAAGGATGGAGGAATGAATAACTGGGTGAAAGTCAGAATAAGGAATACCTTAATAGAAGATGGGACTATCTTCCTTAGCGGCAGCGTCCGCATGCTCATGTAAAGAGACACCAATATAGCTGGGAACCCAGTAAAACTCAACTGTCTTAAATCTACTAGAGATAAGAAACAGCTAATGTTGTGTCTCGACTACCACCGGATGGACTGGATTAAAGGACTCAAGAGCCATGAGGGCACTGCGAGAGTCAACTACAACCACAAAGGAGGATTGACAGCGAGAAAGCAGGAGACAAAGAGCATAGAGAATAGCATAAAGTTCTGCCGTGAAGATGCTAGTCTCCGGAGGCAGGTGACACATAGGTGTGGTCAGGAAAAACAACAGAGTAGCCTATGCTGCCTGCAAACTTAAGACCCATCTGTGAAGATGGAAACGGAGCGGGAATGTGAAGAAAAGTATTCAAGGAAAAGGCGTTTCAGAACTGTAGGAGGGGTAAAAGCTTTAGTGATGTGGGTCAGGGATTTGCAATATTGAAGAAGGGGGCCCCTCCACGGGGGTAAGGACGGAACAACACGAGGAGAAATATTAGTAACTAACTGAAAGAGAATGTTGCAAGCGAGACAACTGGACAGAAACAGAAAGAGGGAGGTGGTGATGGGGAACAGGAACTACAGGATGGGGAAAAGTCAAAGCAAGACACAGGCGAGAGTGAGGGTGTTGTAAGGATCGCGCAAGGTAGTGAAAACAGTAGCAATCGCGGCGGTCCTGGAGAGACTGGAAGCCAGTGTCAACGTACAAGCTGAGGGGTAGGAATTGAACGAAAGGCACCAGAGCTGAGGTGTAACCCAGTATGGTGCAAAGGATCAAGACAGCAAAGAGTAGGAGGAGAAGCAGAAGAGTATGCAGGGCAACCATAATCGAGTTTAGACAGCATGAGAGAGGAATGCCAAGAGAGGAGTGTGCGCCTAACCGCTCCCCAAGAAGTATGGGGACAACACCTTAAGTAGGTTAAGGACCTTAGAGCATTCAACTCGGAGGCAAGAAATATGGGGCGACCAAGACAAACGAGTGTCAAAGATTAACCCCAAAAGCTTCGTGCAATCTTTGTACACAAGGGGATAACCATAAAGCGACAAAGAGGGACGAAGAATGACATGCTTCCGAGTAAAAGTTATAGCAAAAGTCTTAGTTGCAGAGAACTTTAAGCCATGATTGGTGGCCCACGATGACACGGCATCAATCGCAAGTTGAAGCTGCCGTTGAAGGAGAGGCGAATCATCACCGACAGCAAAGAGTAAGATCGTCGACATAAAAGAGCGGAGAAGATGCCAGAAGGAAGGGAGGAAAGAGGACCATCGAGGGCAACCAGAAATAAAAAAAGTAGTGCTCGGAACACTACCTTGGGGTACACCTTCGTATTGCCGAAAAGAGGCAGAGAGAGTGGCACCAAGCCTGACTCTAAAGGAACGACAAGAGAGGGAGATTACCACAAAGGCCAAAAGAACGAAGTTGGGACAGAATATGGTATCTCCAAGTTGTCATAAGCCTTTTCCAGGTCAAAGAGGACAGCAGCAACGGAGGTCTTCGCAGCAAAAGTAGTACAAATATAGACCTCCAAGTTCACCAGGACATCAGTCGTGCTGCAGCACTTGTGAAAACCAAATTGAGAAGGAGAGAGGTGGTGATGGTGTTCCAAGAACCACATCAGACGAACATTTACCTACGCTCAGAGTTTGCAGACAACTCGTGAGGGCAATAGGGGTGGAAGTCCTTAGGGGATGTCCCGAGAGACCCCGGTTTCCGAATAGGGAGTACAACGGCATCGAGCCAGTCCTGACGACGACTCCATGACCTGGTTATACAGACTCAGTAAATACTGAGACGTGCAAGGAGGGAGATGGTGAAGCCTCTCAGTGAATGTCATCCGAGCCCACTGCTGTAGATCCACAGAGGGCCCGGGCAGACTGAAGTTCAAAGAGAGAGAAGGGATTGTTATAGGGAAGGCGGAGATGAGTGCGGAAATCTAAGGGATGAGATTCAAGAACGGGCTTACGAAGGAAAGAAGGATTGAGGAAGATGAGAACCAGAGATAACAGTAGAAAAGTGGGAACCTAGTTCGATCACGACCTTCACTGGGTTTGCCACAAGAGTATCACAGAGGTGAAGAACTGGCCAGACATCTGGAACGAACTTACCGGCAATCTTGCGGATCTTCTTCTAGATCTGCGGCAGAGTAGTATCGGTGGTGGAAACATAAGACTTCCAACTCTCACTTTTAGCTGTACAGATGGTCCTACGGACAACCGCACTGGCCTTCCGAAACAAAATAAAAGAATCAGCTGTCTGCCGGCGTCAGTGTTTCTTCCAGGCTGCAAGCTTACAGTGGACAGCCCGAGCACAGTCCGCATTCCACTAGGGAATGCACTTGTGTGCATTCGAAGGGAATATCAGAACGAATCAAGAGAGCAGTAGAATTACGGGCCCCAGCAAGAGCTGGGGAAAGAGGGGGGGGAGAAAGAAAGGAATAGCCGCGAAAGTGACCAGGACGAGCACCAAGCATTGGCTCCTGGAGACAAACACAAAGCGGTGAAACCTGTGTTGGAGTTGGAGTTGTTGGAAGTTCATGGAAGTTGGCATAAATTCCACGAATATTCCACTGAAGAATAGACATTATCAAAAAGAGAAAGGACAGCAACAGAGAACAATGAATAAACAGGTAAAGAAGAACACAGTATATTAAGTAAGCTCAGGATCAGCAAAATCAGGGTTAGGGGGATAACTTAGTAAGGATGGAGGGAAGGGACCGGGAGGACAGACTAGAGGTGAACTGACGGGGTCCAGAGGAGGAGACAACCGAGAGGGGAAGTCAAGGACAGCAGGAGGGAGAAGGGGGCAGAAACCAGGGAGCGCACCTCAGCAAGGGCAGAAACCGAGAGGGAATCGGGGTCTAAAGAAACCTCCATAGCCGGCACAGGGGGCCCCAACAGGGAAGGGGATGTAGTGATAGTCAGAGGTGAGGGGCGAGGAAGAAAGCGATGCCTTCTTACTCGCTGGGGAGGAGGAAGCAGAGGAGCCAGGCTTACGTTTCTGACTCAAAGAGAAAGGTGTTCCAGCAACAACGTACTGGGTGACAGACTCAATGGTCTCAGCAGGACAAGAAGAACAGGGACAAACAACATGAAGATTGCAAGAAGGATGATGAACAACAGCCTGGACAGACAAGCAGCATGGAGGGCCAAGAGACTGATGGAAGGGGGGGGAAGAAGAATGGGGGGGGGGGAAGAAGAATGGGGGGGGAAGAAGAATGGGGGGGGGAAGAAGAATGGGGGGGGGGAGATAGGAAAGAAGACACATTAGACATGAGGTGACATGGCGGACTGGGTAGGAAGGGGGGGGTAAACTCCAGCTGGAGAACTAAGAGGGAGACCCCTCAGGACAGAATGTAAAGGAACAGGAGACGAGGCAGTGGGCGTGTCCGGATCCAAAGCCTGGAAACGGTTGCGTGACTGAGGAAGGGGGGGAAGGACGAGGAGAGGTAGAACGCAACACGTGAGCATAGGATACGCCAGTGAAAGGGTGGAGACAGCAGACTTGGCATCTCGCTTCAGGAAAAGTCAAACGTTCCCGGTGTTTCAAGTTGAGGACGGCTTCCTCAAGCTTGTAGTTTATACACGTGCGGGAGAAGGTAGGGTGGGCCTCATCGCAATTGAGGCAGTGAGCCTGGGGAGAAGAGCACTCTGTCTTAGAGTGGTCATCGCCCCCACACATGGGGCATAGAGAGACAAGACTTGTGCATTTGAAGGCACCGTGCCTGAACTTCCAGCACTTGTTACAAAGTCTAGGGGAGGGGATGTACTCCTGAACTGAGCACCTGGCACCAGCAAGAATGATACAGGGCAGAAGGGTCCTACTATCGAAGGTAATTTTCACAACTCGAAGGGGCTGATGACGACTACCACGAGGGGGTCGAGTGAACGTGTCCACCTGGAGGACAGGATGGCCTTGGGCTTCGAGGATAAGTCTGAGAAGTCATAAGAGGAATAGTATTCAGTGACATGAAAATAAGAGGTAATGCTTTCATTCATGAATGTGCCCCCGTACCCAACACAGAGTCACAATTAGAGGATAGGACACCCAACAAGAGAAAGGTCTTGCCCCCCCCCCCCCCAGGGGTGCAACGTGATTATACTCCCCACGAACGCCACCTTAAGAACTAACAGTCCGTCGAGATCGGGTTTAGTGACGAAAGAAGGATCGACACTAAAAGTGTCCCCTTGCTCGCGACGTTGGGTACCACAGTTCTACGGGTAAGAGAGTATGCTTCCCCAAACACTCGGGTGTCAAAACAGAAGTAGTCCGAAAGAATAATCAAGACTGGCAAAAGGTCGACGGGAAATAACAATTAGAAAGGAGAAGAGGGGGAGAAAAATGAAACACAAGGAAAAGGAAAAGATATCTGGCAAAATTGGTGAAGACAGCAGCAGAAGCATAAGGCTTCAAAAGGACAGAGGACTGACCCATGGAGCATCACACTCCGGCAGTCGTCCACCAAGCCCCCTCATGACGACAACGGGCCAGAAAGGGAGGGGGGGGGGGGGAAAGCAAGGTACAGTCAATCACAATATCGACTTACCTGCCATAGCTGTAGCCCTTCTGGATCATCTTCGGTACAATACTCTAAAAACTCTTTGAAGTAAATCATTGCTGCCAAAAGAATTGGCACAGTTGAGAGGAGATTGATAAGGCCAAAATATATCTGCAAAGAAAATACAATCCCAATTTCATCAGTCTCATCAAACAAATTATTATTTTATCACTAACCAGTTGTACAAATTTTACATGGTTTAAACAATATGTATGGTAAATACATTTGTTGCAACTGATCAATTCACTCTATAGTTTTGTTGTACATCGGGCTGTATCATGCCCAAGACTTAACACACCAACCATGTCATAATGTAAGTAAAAGAATTTTTTTAATACTGTACATTACAAAATGTGAAAAATGACAAAATTTACCTGGCCACGTACCAGTACAGTAGCGTGTCGATGCACCAGAATTGCAAATCTTTATATTAAGCATATACTGTACCTTACAAAAATTATTAATACTGTGCTTAATTTTCAAAGGAGCTTCAACACCATAAATATTTAGTACTGTAGTGGAATGCAATAATTTACTACATCAAGTTACATAATTTATGTATTATACCACATTACGCTATTTTTTTATTAATGTGTAAGGTAACTAAATGATGCACCTAAGCCAGGGGTCTCCAAACTATGGCCCGCGGGCCACATCTGGCCCGCCACATAATTTCATCCGGCCCTCCAAACAAATCCCTGTGTGGTGGCCTTGAAAAAATAATTATCGTACGAATGGCATCGCAGAATTATTCAAAGCTGGGGCTGCTGACTGGTGGCGCTCAACCCGAGTCAGTTTTCCTCTCTCTCGATAGTGTGACGCACAGATACTAATACTGGTAGGTATGTGTTGTGCATTACAACCAATCAGTTGTGTATAACTGTATATTGTTTTTATTTTTTTTATTATTTATTTTATTTTTTTATTGTTATTTGACAGTATCATTCGTCACACTAATTTGGTTGCATAAAACTAAAGGCAGGAATCTATTTAGTTTACCCTGATTTTTTCCAAAAAGATATGTTTTAATTTTTCCATGTTTATACTTTAATATTTGAGGAAATTAAATTACTGGCACTGATTTGTTTTTTGTTTTTTTTCATTTTTTATTCCTCCGGCCCGCATGAATATGGGAAATATATAATGTGGCCCTTACATTGAAAAGTTTGGAGACCCCTGACCTAAGCCAATACGGTATAAAATTTAGTACTAGTAATAGCAAAACTACACTAGCAGGGAGTCTCGTCTATGCGCCACAGGACAGAACCATGAAAGTTCAATGGAAAAACTGGCAAACCAGAAGCTATCAAGGGGCTTACAAAATGGGCAACTGTTGTCAAATCACACAAGGCTAATAACTGATGAGATGGCTAGGTAGATCCAGTAGTTGGGAGTGCTGCCACCCGATAGTGTACAGCTGTTACTTGTGGGTCACATCACAATTCTTCTGTTTTCCTTCAGTGTGTTTAGAACCAAATACCTTGCAAGACTGATGTAGGCAAAAGATGTAATTCACACATTTCAAGAAAGTGTAAACAAAGACGATGTACTTCCCTTTCCTCATAATAATTCCCCTTGTCGAGGACAGGAAGCCTGTACTGAAGACTCGTCAAGGTCTCCCTAGGAAAATTGACCTTTCCCAGGATGCAACCCACAACAGTAGCCCAACTCCCAGGAACCCATCTTACCGTCAGAAGATTAAACCTGCATCCCGTGACTGTGAGCCAAGTACAGTACGTAGTCCAGTGCTACAGGACCCTGTTATTGGAAAAATTATGTAATGCACATTATTATATGTATATATTATATGTACTCTACTCCTGCATGCTTGCCTGTGTCAGTACTGTTCTACAAAACTACTGAAATTTTACCTGCAAAAGTAACACCCTATTTTTTCGAATTGCTGTGAGACCCAGGAAGTTGGCCAAGGATCCCACCAACCAGATGTACTCCCATTTCAGTGGCTGCAAGAGGCAACTTTGCATTATTATCTTTTGGTTTTGGCTGCATGAAATTGATGGATCTGCAAACTATATTCAATACAAAAATATAAATTTGATCTAATAGCAGTATTTATCACAAATTAAAACAATTAACACTAAATAATTTATATTAAAACAATTTTATAACCAAATAATTTAGAGAGCTGGACAGTCAACAAATTTTAAACAGCCAATGGCAAGAATAAAAACATTTTTGTAAAGTTAATCCTGTCAGTAAAAACATGATACATCAATGTTTTATTTTTTTGTCAGTAAAAATAGAAATGTGCTCATACTTGCGGAACTTCTAATTCTTCGATTTCAAGAATGAAAATATCAAGTCTATCGAGGAAATCAGGAACCATCTTGACCACCATGAGGAGTGCCAGCAAGAGATGCGAGAACACACATTTTCGTAGCCGTCCTTTGTTCAATGCACTAACAAAGGTAAAGAAAATTAAATAATAGTGAGCCAATCTTCTGAATGGGAAGTAGCAAGGCCTAAAACTACTATTTTCTGCTAAATTTAGTACAAAACAATTTCGGTAGCTTTGCATAAACTACCAAAAAACAGCACTGTACTGTACTGCATTACACTTCATATCAATGATACAACAAACAAAAATTACTGTACTTGAAATATTGTCTATTAACCAATTAACTTTCAATTAATTTTCAGTTTCGTACTGTAACCACTTTATTAATATACTGCACAGTATTACCATTTACAAATTTCGGGACATTTGATTTGTAAAACATAAAATTTTCTAAACAGTTAGTAACTTGCACAAGAAACACCAGGAAACATGCATATGGCAGAATGAATGATATAAATCATGAGCACAACAGAAGAATTGTGGTTGAGTGAGTGAAGTTACCAATTAGGTTACATCAGGATGGTTTAATTCAATGACAATGTTATATTAGTAAAACTGGCTGTACCAGTACTTCCAGGCCAGGTCACATTTACTGTACAATAGCAAAATCCAGCACTAAATGTAATGAAACGCCTCTTTCTGGTAGGCCCTTGGTAGCTCTCCCCCCAATGCTACAGCTTGAAACCTCTTCCGACTCACAAGCACCTACTAGAGACCCGAACCAGAATCTGGCCCTCTTGCAACCCTCAGTCCGAAGGTTTCCTTTCTCTCGGCTCCCTCCTCCGGTCACTCAGGAGGCACTCTTCATGTACATCATGTGTGACCTGGATTCTCTCTATTTGATGGACCCTTCCACTTTTGAGTTTAGTCTTCTTTCTTTTTGGATGTGATACAAGGTACCACAGTCCTCCTGGCTAGCGGACAATACTTCGTTCTCACTTATGCCTCGTCGCAGCTTATGTCGTACCCCTGCGCTTGAGTGGTGCGAGGTGTCGATTGTGTTGCATATGTTTCTGGGATGCCTTTTTTTTATGTGCACCTTGATGACTGCTCGTTTGCTCCTGCTCTCTCTCGGGATGATGGATTCCATCGTGCAATTTCTGGGCCTCCTTGACCTGCATACTGGCTCTGGGAGGAGGTTGAGGCACTCAGCAGAAGGCCTCATAAGGGGGGTTTCAATTTATACTGCTTTCCCAAAATCTGCACACTCCCATGGTCTAGGAGGCAGTAGCCATGTTCTTCGCTGCCCAACTTGTGCGTTGGCAGGCTGTGTTGGCCCAGTCTTTGGAGTTGGTGTGTGCCCTGGCTCTCTTATCTGCCTCTGGTTATGTCTCAGTATCTATTTGGTGGTTGCTGCTAGTCTTATTTCAGATCTCCTGCATTCTCTGGGGGTCTCATTTACATCCTTGGAGGGGGGTCATCGCCTATTGTGGGTTGAGGTAGAACTGGGGCATAGCCTCATGTGGGTCCAAGTTGGCCCTTCTGTAGAGACTGATTAGCCAGATTATGGGTCGCAAGCCGTAAGCACTTGGCTGGTTCTTCTCTGGTCGATGCCATGCTCGCTCTTCCCAGAAGGCATTAGTTTCTATTGGTCCTTAACACCAACAGCATTGCCATCTGTTATTGTTGTCAGTCCCAGGTGACTGTTTGAGCAATTGTGCGAGAGCCTGAACTTTGTCTGCACTATGTTTCCTCTGGGCAAAGTGTGGCTTCTCTCATATCTCTGGTTCAGTTCCTTTCTGTGCTGCTACGATCGTTGGGAGTGGGCCAAATTGGCTCTTCGCCTACTGCTGCTGCAGCATCGCCAGCTTCCTCTTTAGGCTTTCCGGTCACATCCGATTCCCGGTTCGGTTCCTGGTGCCTTCCTCCACCCTTGCTCGATGTCTTTACGAACATCTTGACTCTGGGTTGGGGCTTTCCGACTAGTGCTCACCAAGCTGGCCAGGGTCATTTGTCTCCTCCCTTTTGTCTGGCCCACAGTATGGTTCGGGAGTTTGCGGCAAACACCGAGAAGGGTTCAGATTCCTCTGAACTAAAACCCTTTGTGTTCTCTCTCCATTCAGACTGTTCCCTGTGGTATACTGCCTGAAAGGGATTTGCTTTGGTCCTTTGCCCTTTGAAGCCTGACATTTTTCAAGTGGCACTTTTGCTGGATTCTCAAGTTTTGGCTCTTCACACTGTTCACCTCCAGGGAGTATCAAATGTTTTCAGTGATGGTTTATCCCGGTTCCTTTCCATCTCCACAGAGTGGACTGTCAATGCCACCACCTTCCTTTGGCTTTGCAAGACATGTGTCCACAGGTGGACCCCTTTGCATTGGTGAGGAATGTGCACTTTTATTTGTACATCGCTCCATTCCCCGATTAAGAGACCTCATGGTGGATTCCTTTTAGATGGACTGGTAGAACGGGGGGATTCCTATACTGTACTTCTTTCCACCAGTTTGGCTGTTGCCCAGGGTCTTAACAGGAAAGAGTAATCTTACTGGATCCCTGGTGGCAGGCGCCGTTTCCTCAGTGTCTGAACCCAGCCATTTTTTTGTGGCTCTGCTACTATCAAACCTAACCACTTGACTGGACGGTAAAGTGCAAGTCTCGCATCTTGAAAGGAAGGCATTCAATCCCCGACCATCCAAGTGGTTGGGCACCATTCTTTCCCCCAGTCCCATCCCTAATCCTTATCCTTTCCCAGTGCTCTGTAGTCGTAATGGCTTGGCACTTTCCCTGAAAATTGCCTTCCCTTCTGCCACTATCAGAGGATCGGCCTGGTGACATATTTTGCTGGTTCGACTTCCTCAGCTCCTAGTGTCAGGTCTTTTTGATGTGTCTTTATCGTCATCTGTAAGGCAAGCAGGTGGCTTCTTTGGTGGTGCTACACCTACTTTCCTCAACTTGGCGATAGTACGAGGTTTCATAGCACCCTTTGTGCTACTTCCTTTCCCTCTATCTTCGTTTGTCGGTCTCTGAACATGTAGTGCTCTCCTATCTTTCTTGGGTTTTCTTGATTAGCATCTTATGCCAAATACTGTCAACTTGTGTTATGTGGGGCTGACAGAGTCACTGCAGCTTGCATTCAGTGTCAATTCCATCTTTGCACTGTTTCACAGGCTATCTCATGCTTTGCTTCACATCCAGCTTAAGAGTTATCAACTCCCAATTGCGAGCCGAGAAAGAACCCAACTCGGAAAGAAGTAACAGTTTTATCTTAATTGGCCCTTTAAACTGCCAAGCTATTTAAAATTCCTACATCCAGGTGAGCATGGAGAAAAAGAAAGTATTGAAAACTATAAGAATCAATCCCGTATGGCAATTTGAGCACAGCAAGAAAATGCGGACAAGTGACTGGAGCAGAGCAAATGTTAATCTGACACCATACGATGGTTAAGTACTGTACATTTTTATACACAGTATATTGTATTTAGAAATAAAATTATTCCATTACAAAATTTTGTAAGATGTTTTATGTATGTACACAGTATTTTTCCCAAAACACTGTGCATATTAGTGGCTTTAGGCATTGTATGTACTAGCTCTATCTAGAAATCCAACATTATGTTTGTAACTCATCTCGTATGTGTGCACTTTTACCTGAATAAACATTTGATTTGATATGACTATCCTGTATAATATAATACATATTAACAACCTTACGTAGTCTAATCATTACAGAATTTTCAGCATTTTCAAAACTGTAAATATTGTACTGTACAATGCACGAGTATGTACCTTACCTAAACATTCAGCATTGGTAGTTTTTCAACTGTATCTTGTTTTAAAATATTGGGTCAAGAAAGACAACTTGGAAAATTTTTAATTTTTATAAACAATAACGGTATTAGTAATCAGTTTATTTCACATTTATTTTGTTAACGAGGTTATATTACACACACAGTATACAAAAGCACTTATAAACAAGTGTGTTATTGAACTTTCAGGAGACTTATAAGGGACAAATCAAATCAAGTGTAACACACCCATAAGCACCTCTACATGGGTCCAGTTGAGGAGAGGAGGAACAGAAAAAATAATATGCCAAAGAGGATAGTTTTTATATATATTTCTGTATACTGTATGCATTACAAACAGTAGTAGAATTTACTCAATCTTTATACTTGCTTAAATTCTCAATTAGTTAAACATTAACTTTCATAAAACAGAATATAAAATATTTAGCAAGCGTGTAAAAAAAAAACACGTTAATTGTAATGAAACGCTCCTTTCTGCCACGTTTTTGGTGGCAAGCTCCACCCAATTCAATCCATGCCAGGCCTTTGCTAGTCATAAGCCTACTGGGGACTAGAGGTCAAAACCTGGCCCTCTTATAAAGTTAGAAAAACCAGGCTCAGAAGGATGCTGGGAGCAGGAAGCAAAGTGTAATGGTGAATAGCATATAACGGTAAGCACCAGATAATACGACTGAGGTGTTGAGGTTGTTGGATCAAGTAGAAAGGCACAGTCACCTGGTGCTGAGCAGGTGGAACTAATAAGAGAACTTTTTCATGATTTGGTGGTTCGAAAGTCTCAGGGATTCACTGTCCCATTTTCTATGCTTTGTGTACCTTGCTGTTTGCATATTTTGGTTTGCCCACCTTTTTGGTGGCCATTTCTTGGTTAGAGTGATCTACAATCCTCTGCTCCTTGTGCCTCTTTAGAGGGGGGCCTGGTTTGGACCTCTGAACCCCATTGGTTTGTACGACTCATTAGGGCCTGGCATGGATTGAATTTGTCCAAATATAAATTTATCGACGAAAACTTTTAAAATTATACTGCAGCCTGTAATTTTGGAATAAATAATAGGCCCTCTACAGGAGTTTCTGTATTTCACTATCTAGCCTCTCTGGCATAGGTCTTAAGGATGAGCATGCATTAAGCATACCACAAGGAATACTAGGGTAAAATGCCTGACACCAGTGGCTACTTGTCCTGTCAGACAAAATATAAAAAGATGTTAATTTTTATTTCAAGAATATAGAACAGTATTGTATGTCAACTATTAAATGTAATACCTAATGCCCAGAAGTGATTATGTAACAGTACTTTAAAAAAAAGAGTTAAGAAGAGAGAAATGCTGACCTAAATGAAAGTCGGAATGATGTTGACAAGGGAAAGCAACGCATTACATAACTGAAATGAGCAGCAACGAGCATAGAAGAAAATAGAAAAGGTAGCAGAAAACATCAAATATGTTCAAAATTGTATATTAGTTTGAGCGTGCTAATCAACCTATCCTCCTATTTAGATAGTTCTTATTGTAACTATGTGGACTATTGTATGTATATTGACATAATGGACAATTAGTAGAAATTGGTATTATTCACTCTATAAGAGTCTGGAAAAAAAGTTAAAACCAAACAAATATCTCTAGGTCTATATTACACAAATACACTACATTAGGCCTCAGATAGCAAGTATTAGGCCTAGGATGGTTACGTTAGGTTTTATTAGCAACAAATACAAAACCTTTTTGGTTTTGTCCAAATTCAATTTAACCAAATTCAACAAATCCACAAGGGCCGTGACGAGGATTCGAACCTGCGTCCGAGAGCATCCTAGACGCTGCCTTAATCGACTGAGCTAGTCAACCGAAGTTCAGTAGAACTTCGGCTTCAACTCCTTTTACCATGTCGTAGCTCAGTCGATTAAGGCAACGTCTGGGATGCTCTTTGACGCAGGTTCGAATCCTCATCACGGCCCTTGTGGATTTGTTCATTTGATGCATCACGCAATTGTGATTTGTGTGTAACCAAATTCTACGTTCCAATTGTCCATTACGTCAGTATATGTACGATGATCTACATCATTAATACAAGTACTGTATTATCTAAACAGGAGGATGGGCTGGTTCAGGGTGAAACTTTTGAATTCACAAGCCTTCAGCTTGATGGAAGCCATATGGTTGTCAGATAAGGGCTAAAGAATTTCTAGCACTTAAGTTCACGAAATTGTAGAACCTGGACACCTGGCAAAATATCCTCTACAAAGCCTGAGGCTCATGGTAAGTCAAGTTCACTGTCTAACCAAGTATCCTGTTGTATATTTAAAATATAAATTTTACATAACCAGTCATCTAAGCCCATTTTAATGTGGAAAGGAAGCCTAGTTACAAATAGATACCGATACTTAGAAGAACAATTAGCATTTATTCACTATTTAAGCACATCCTTGATGGCAAAAGTTTCATGATGTGTAAAATGGTTCTAGATTAAATACTCTACACCAAATTTACAACTTGTTGCATCGCTATCCTGTACATACCAATATTAATTGAATAACAAAAGTTCTGGATGTGGTTAAGGACTTAAAAGACTGAAAACATGGATCCAACATTTAGAACGAATAATGAAGTTGCAGCATGGCTTGTAGGTGAAGCCATAAACCAATGATAATATGAATGAGATCTAAACATTAATACAAAAATGTATGTAGCACAGGAGTAAACTTAATTATCCGGATTTTGGACTTCCAAATTTCCTGAAGATCCCAATGGTAATTATCCAGATTTAGGATTTATAGTGTACGTACTAGATTTACACTGTACTCCAGTGCATATACTGTACTGAAATAAAGTATTTATTTTTGTATAGTAATAACATTTGATAATGTATATTAGGCTACAATGAAAAATTAGTTTTTGAAGCTCATCAGCTATTGTAGATATCAAGCTGACATACATGGAACTGGATGACAATGGACAAGTAGCCACCTTATTATAACTTACACTTCGGAAATTCTCTTCTTTGGAGGCCAGCTGGAACAACCAAATCTGATATTAGCACAACAGTTCTATACACATACCACACATCTATATGGTTGTTAAATACCTATTAGGATGGAAAAATTTGAATTAGTGGCATTAGAAAATTAACACAACAGAATAAAATAATTTTGCCTAATATATTAACACACTAAAAATAAAATACTATACTGTATTTAGACTAGTCAAGACCGTTAAATTAGTATCGACGTGATCTCTTAAAATTCTAGCTGTAATGGAAACAAATTAAGCAGAGGGGTTACACTGCCTTAGTTAATATAATGAAGCATTAATGATTTTCAACATCATACATATGCTGTTCTTCATTGCCAAATGAACAAAATCTAATTTAAAACAATAAGAATTAAATAATGGAAAATTTTGGTAAAAAACAGGAGCAAAGGGAAACCACAGGAGGCCCACTGACCCATACGAGGTACTGTAGCTCCCATTTATAGTCATGCAAATGCACTCACATGCCAGTTCTGTCTCTGTTCATCTTAGGCCAGTGATAATTTAAACTGTTCATGTTGTAATTATAAATAAAATATAAAGTAGATTTTTCCTACTACAGGGATTGAAATAAAGGTCAGTTGAAAGCTGTCCAAATTTATTAAATACAGTAGCATAATGTCTGTCGGAGTTAGGTTTATCATTTATCTTGATAGTAGCGAGTAACAGCAAATATTTTTCATCAAATTTAAAATACTACAGTACAGCATAGTGGAAACTTGTCTGAACAAATTTATTAATATCGGGACCATACTTCGCATCAGATCTTTGTAATTTTTAACAAAATTATTAAAAATTATTCTACCATTTCTCAAATAGAGGAATTTTGCTCAAACAGAATCCATAAGCAATCGAGGGAATTGTTCTGGTCATAAGACTGGTTTTAAATATATTTTAAATAAAAATTACAAAATTTTGGTGCCAAAATACTGTATGTGCACAATTTTTTTTATAATTTTAAATACTGTACATTAATAAAACAATGCTTTTTGGTATATAGAGTGAACAATTTAAATTTTTGCTATGGAAGGTGTCTTAGGAATCTGCTTGAGAAGGAGTCCACTGTTATGTACCATATTAAATTTTTATAGCAGGCTTCAAGGACATGGAGGAACACTCTTGGAGAATGACAAAATGTGTGAAGGACAACAAGAGGTTCAGATCATCTTCAAATCAGAATCTGATTGGTGTTCAAGTAGGTACAACAACAAACAACTAGAAACAACTGAAGTTAACAGAAGAGAGAGATACAGTACTTGAAGGAATTGGATGTAACAAAAGCAGTAGAACCAGACCAGATATCACCATGGGTACTGAAGGAAGCTGCAGGAAGCTTGTGTTACCCATCAACTAGTTCTCAACATTACAGTGGATGGGAGAGTTACCAGAAATCTGGAAAATGGCAAATGTAGTTCCAATATTTAAGAAAGGGGGGGGGGGGGACATATGAGGAATTAAACCATAGACCAGTGTCATTAACATGCATTTCATGCAAGATACCTGAAACATCATCAGCAAAAGGATTATAGAACATGAGGAGAGAGTAAATTTTGTAACAATGGCACAACACAGCTTCAGAAAATGGAAAATCTTGCTTAACAAACTTTGAATTCTATAACACGGTCACCAAAATAAGACAAAAGGAGGAAGGATAGGTAGACTGCATCTTCCTAGACTGTCAAAAAGCTTTTCATACAGTTTATCACAAAAGACTAATACACAAGATGGAGTGATAAGTAGGGATAACAGAAAAGGCACTGGGCTGGTTATGGGAGTACAGTAGTTGACAAAACAGGAGCGTGGTCAGAGGGGTAAGTCAGGCTTTATTCTGACATATCTGTCACAACTTTGGTTGTAATCTAGGTTTGCAACTAGATTAGTACCAAAATTGAGGTCTCAGCTATGAGGATAGGTTGAGAGAACTCAGCCTCACAACCTTAGAGGAGAGAAGAAATAATGAGATATGATAATTACAGTACAGTATGTACAATATCTTGATGGAAATAAAGTGGATAAAGAAAGCATATTTAAATTAAAAAGGGGAAGGATGAGGGGACAGCAGTGAAAGCTGGATACGCAATTGAGTCAAAGAGTGTAATAAGTGGAATGCACTGATTAAAGCCAATTCTATCCACAACTTTAAAATGTAAGATGAAAACATTAATATTGAGGGGGATAATTAGCAGGTTTGAATGGCTAGGAGGCAGGGTATAGAGCTAGATGCAAGCGATGAGTTACAACGTGGCTGAAGTATGTTGACCAGACCACACTCTAAAAGGTGAAGGGATGACGACGTTTCGGTCCGTCCTGGACCATTCTCAAGTCGATTGTCGATTGCGATTCTCAATCGACTTGAGAATAATCCAGGACGGACCGAAACGTCGTCGTCCCTTCACCTAGTGTGTGGTCTGGTCAATATAGAGCTAGATCTCACTTCCTAGTAAGCATTGATAGACAAGTGCTGTTTATCAACAATATGTAATTTAATAACGCTTTCCTGTATCAAGGGGCGGGGGGGGAGAAATAACCCGCCATTCAACCAAGTGAAAAATGTGTTTATACAAAAAATATAAATCATCCATGTGTGTTTTACGATTTATGCCCAACCTTTAAGCAGCAATTGCAACCTTTTGGCAGCAAGATGGTTGACTGACTTAAAGTTGTTCACTGTCATGTGCAATTTTAGCCAAATGCACAGTTTCAACAGCCCATGACATTTGTCGAACATCTGACCAGAACAGGAATTTGGGCACATTTGAAATCAAACATGTTTATTAGCCAGTATATAAATAATAGTAGTAGTAGTATTAGAATGGTCGATTAAATTATTACCAAGGCGATAATTTTAGGACCAAGTGCCTCAAACGTGTTACTTGGCTAAAGGAAATAATTTTTCTGTTGTGGAAAAAAAATAATATTGGCGAGTCAGTGATACATACTCTGTTAAACCAAACAAAGCCTAATTAACTTTACACACATTTGAATTTAACTTTAACAATTAATTAAAGTGTTTGAGCCCCAAACTTAAAACAAAATGCCCCCAGCTTGGAAGACAGTGTTGTACTCTTTGCCTAGTTATCGTACTGCAACCTAGGCACAGCAGCAGTAGACTCTCTCATTGTCAGGGACAGGAAATCTTGGCTAAACAACCCTACTCCCCTCCTAGAAGAATTAATGGTCGTCCATCAGGGAGCAACCCACAACAATCATAAGAACAAAGGTAACTGCAGAAGGCCTATTGGCCCCTTTGAGGCAGCTAGAATTTCTAACCACCCAATCCCACTCATATACACCTATATATATGCAATCAACTATCCCTCAAACAGCCAACAGCCATACCATGTTGAGAACACCGCTTCTCGTCCCTCAGATACACATTTACTACTAGGCGATAGGTGAAGAGGCATCATTGATTGATGAAGATTAAGCCATCCAAAAGGTGGCACGGGCATGAATAGCCCGTAAGTGGTGGCCCTTTTGAGCCACTACCAGTAACAAGAGCTGATTCTGGAGATCTGTGGAGGTGCGAGAGCACCCTGCGTGACGTGACGGGAGATGCCTCCCGTGAAGAGGCATCAGGCATAAGGAAACTTAAGAGATGCTGTAGTCTTAGCTTCATCAAACATTACTCAAAAGCTCCAATCTAATGCCCAAGGCCTAAACATTCCACAAACCATCTGCTGTCACATTCCCCGCGCGTGTCTATTTGAGCCAGGGTGGCACCAAGATGCCACCTGTCCCGGCACCCGCCTACCCCCAGGCACCAGCCGCCGCCGCCACCAACCAGCTGTTGAGTCATGCGTACGGCTCCTGTCAGCGTGAGCGTATGACAGCAACATGAATGAACGAGAGGCGGTTAGCGTAAGAGGGAGAGAGAGAGGGGGTGGGTGGGCAGGGAGGGAAAGGGGGGAGAGACAACGTGGGCCAAAGTGCCATGGAGCGGGGGCCAGGAATACAGCGAGAGGCATCACGTTACACTCACCTAATCTGGTAATGTGTTGCTACCGTCTCCCTGTGGACGAAGTCGGAGCCGTCCGTCCCAGCCACCATAGGCCCGTCTCGGGACGCCATCCTCGCCTCTCACAACTCTTTCCCGGTCTCTGGCGGCTTAGCGAGAGAGGGGAAGGAGGCGTGAGCGGTGCGGCAGGCGAGGGAGGAGAGCTGCACCACCAACAACAGGAGCCAGACCCACCTGGAGCCACACTGTCACCTGGCGGCCGCTGCCCCAACAACAACAACAATGTCCTCACACCACCAACACTACTTAACAACCAGAGAAAACGGACACTCTTACATCTATTTTCAAGGGAAAGGACAAGAAAATGTATCATCTCGGATGTATTTGACAATTCTAAATTACGAGATAAGGACCACCATTGATTTATTTTCAATGTACAATATGAAAAACCGCCGGATCAGGTTCATTTTCATGAAAAATTGTGAGGAAATTGTAACTGTATCAGAAATAATTTTAGGGGGGACTAACAGAAACAATCCCCTAATATTTATTTTCTAAAGAAAATAACACCACAGTTTTAGTTTCAACAGAAGCTCCAAGAAAACGGACTGTCTCAACTGCATTGTTCAGTGGATATTAAGAAAAACGGAATTGTTTCGTGTATTGTGTAGGAGAAACTACGAGAAAATCTTGTTTAAATCTTTGAATCTTGTTTAAATTACCAATCAAGCTGTTAATGTAATCAATCAGAGCTTTAATATACGAATGTGCTTTAATATACTTACTAATCTCTCTCATCTCATTTTTTTCTTACAATGTATCTGTTATCATTTTATTAATTCTGCTAGAATTTACCTACTTAAAATTATCTGTTAGATTAAGGACCTGCCCGAAACGCTGCGCGTACTAGTGGCTTTACAAGATTGTAAATACTATGCTATGTATTCTCACAAACCTAATGTACCTTCTTGTATATAAATAAATAAATAAATAAATAAATAAAAAGAACCTAATCAGATTTAGTTTCCTTTTGAGGTGGACATTCAAGCTAGCTCCTAGGCTTATTTCGAGGTCCCACAAAGCCAGCTGCTGATTTTCCTCAGGATGCATCCAATTAAACAGCGAACTACCTTCCGGGTGCCTATTTACTACTAGGTGAATATGAGCATCAGGTGGGGAGAAATGGGCCCCAAACGTCTTAGCCTTGCTGGGGGTATCGAACCCAGGATCAATTCGAGCGTTGTGAGCCGACTGCTCTTCTGGTTATTTCAAGCAGAAGTATAGGTTCAGATTTATTTTCAGGTGAAACTAAAACCGCGAAAATAGCCTAATCTATTTTGTATATTATTATTAACAAGCTTAGGTATACTGCAGTGTGCTGCTTCCCTCTCTATGTGAGAGATTACTGATTATAGGTCAAGAGAGAGGTAATAGTTCATCTGACATCCCCCATCTTACAGAATCGTTAGTCATCCATGGAATCGGTGGAAAATACGAGATAATTAAGCCTAGTTTGATAGCCTGCACTAGAAAATTTTGATTACAATACGTTATAATATCTTCCAATATCCGTAAGCGAATGAAATAGTTTCAAACCTCAAAGTATCTTATGCCGTGTGATATAAAATCATTGATAACAGGGTACTCACAGTTAGTTAAGTTCATTTATTATGCACCCCATACCTATCTTGTGGGCGGTAGTGAAAAGGGTTACAGAGGCTAGATATTAACTAGCTAGATAAGGGTTAATATCTAACATATTCAGCAGAGATTTGAGTAAGGGTACCGAGTGCTGTCTGGGGCCAGAGTTAGATATTGTTCTAATAGCAGCTTTGTGTTGGGTAATTAGAGCACGTAAATGATTTTGGGTAGTAGAACCCCAAGCACAAATACCATAGTTGAGATAAGGATAGATGAGAGAATAATAGAGCGTCACCAGGGCAGGAGGAGGAACATAATATCTGATCTTAGAAAGAATGCCAACAGTTTTAGAAACTTTTTTTTGCTATATTTAAAATGTGTCCCTGGAAATTCAGCTTGTTATCGATGAGGACACCAAGGAATTTACCATCAACTTTACTACTGATTTCTATATTGTTTATTCTTAGATTAATTTCATTTGAGGATTTATTATCAAACAAAATATAGAAAGTTTTGTCAATGTTAAGGGTGAGTTTGTTAGCAGTTAGTCAAAGATGGACTTTATTTAGTTCAGTATTCACAGAGACATTTAGAGCAAGAGGGTCAGGACTGGAGAAAATGAAAGTTGTGTCATCAGCAAATAAGATTGGTTTGAGGTGTTGAGAGGCATTTGGAAGGTCATTAATGTAGATGAGAAAGAGGAGAGGGCCAAGTATGCTGCTCTGTGGAACACCAATGTTTATAGGTAGAGTCAGAGAAATGGAATTATTCACAGAAACATACTGGAGCCTGTCAGTAAGGTAGGACTGAAGGTATTGCACCTCTGACTCCATAATGATGTAATTTAAGAAGGTTTTGGTGGTTGATAGTGTCGAAAGCCTTACGTAGGTCCTCAAATAACCCAACAGGGAACTCCTTTTTATCAAGAGCTGCATGTATCAAATTAATCATACTAATAAGTGCATCGTTAGTGCTTTTTTTTGGGTCTGAAGCCATATTGACAAGAGCTTAGTATATTGTGTTTGGGTAGATAAGAGTAAAGCTGCTTGTTGATTAGTTTTTCAAATATTTTTGACAAGTTTGGCAGAATTGATATACGTCTGAAGTTGTTGACATCAGTGAGATCACCACATTTATGAACTGGGGTTACTCTCGCTTTTTTAGAATATCTGGAAAAGTTTGGAGTTCAAGTGACTTGTTGTAGAGCAATGCAATGGCAAGGGCTAAAGATCTGGAGGTTTTTATGTAGATTAGAATTGGTGTCTCCTCAAGGGCACTAGACTTGGTCTTAAGGAAAAGGATTACCTCATTTACATCAGTGGAATTAGCGGACGTTAGGTACAGAGACTGCGGGTAGTTACCTGTAAGATAGTCCTGAACATTAGTACTGGAAGATGGAATATCATTAGCATTAGTTTTAATTATTTTTAAGCGTCAGTTCTTGGTGGTAGTAAAGAGAAGTACCACCATCTCTTTGTACAGGGCGACAGTTGTGAATAGCTGAGTAGTTAGGTATGTTGAAGAGTTGAGTAGTATCCTGTTTTAACCACGTAAAATACCTATAGCTCTGCCTTTCCATTCAAAAGGGTTTAATTTTATTTTTTTAAATTGTCATCTTGTTATTGTCTCTTTTTTCTTGCTTTTTACTATATTTTTTATATACTCCATACTCCCTTATTCCATTTGAACACTGGCTTTGCCTGTGTCCTCTACTAAGGAGCTATAGGTATTTAAAGGTATAACCTGAGAAACTCTGTTTAGGACAAAGGTTCACTTGCCAGTTTACAAAAAGACTATTACTGGGTCCGTAATATGCTTTCAGATCATCAGAAATATCTAGATGACTATCTAGGTAAGATAGGATAAGATAATATGTTTATTCAGGTAAAGGTAATTGAAAATGAGTTACATACATAATGTTGGATTAATAGATAGAGCTAGTACATACAATGTCTGAAGCCACAAATACGCACAGCGTTTCGGGCAAATATGAAGGTGGTTTGAAGAGGGGTGCGGTTTCTCATGGTAATGGATTTGATCTGAGGACAGACTAATTGGGTTACGTTTTGGTGTACGGAACCTTCCTTCAACTGCCTGAATGGTTGGGACGCCTGCAGGTGCCAACAGTCTCCGTGGTGTAGTGGTAAGACACTCGCCTGGCGTTCCGCGAGCGCTATGTCATGGGTTCGTATCCTGGCCGGGGAGGATTTACTGGGCGCAATTCCTTAACTGTAGCCTCTGTTTAACGCAACAGTAAAATGTGTACTTGGTTGTAACAACGATTCTTCGCGGCAGGGGATCGTATTCCAGGGACCTGCCCGAAACGCTACGCGTACTAGTGGCTGTACAAGAATGTAACAACTCTTGTATATATCTCAAAAAAAAAAAAAAAAAAAAAAAAAAAAACATCGCCACGGGGTCACGGGGGTGTTACGCTTCGTAGAGGGGTTGTAATAGACCTCATGTGCACCACTGAGAAACAAATGTCTGTCTGATATTCCTAGAGTGAAACTCTAGGAATTTCAAACTCTAGGAATTAGTTTCACTCTACTAGAGTGAAACTCTAGTAGAAATGCTATGCATATCAGGGTTCCAAATTGTGGAATGACCTCCCATATATAATTAAAAGTTGCACGTCTCCCAACGAGTTGAAAAGAGAGATTAAGAAATGTTTACTTAATATGTAATTATTAATGTTAAAGAAACTACCGTCGGATTTCAGAATGTAATAGTTGACGCTTGTCATCGTTATCACCTTTATTTTTAAAATTCATTTTGTGTCGGGGGGACAGAAAGGGGTTTTTACTATTTGTACCTGCAGAATCGAGCTATCAGCTCTTGGGCCCCACTTTTCTAGCCCGTCTATTTTTCCTCTATTATGTCTACTACATATATTTTTCTTTACACACGCACATTCCCAGGAAGCAGCTGTCTAACTCCCAGATACCTATTTACTGCTAGGTGAACATACGCATCAGGTGAAAGAAACTCTGCTCACTGGTTTCTGTCTCAGCCGGGGATCGAACCGTAGTCTTTAAGGTCTACGTAAGTGCTCGGGGGTCGTAGTCCTTAAGGTATACGACCCCCGAGCACTGTTCACTATATGGTGTCCGTACATATATTTTTTTTTTGAGATATATATAAGAGTTGTTACATTCTTGTGCATCCACTAGCAAGCGTAGCGTTTCGGGCAGGTCCCTGGAATACGACCCCCACGAAGAATCATTTTACAACCTGTAGTAGTACCCATTTTACTGTTAAGTTAAACAGAGGCTACAGTTAAGGATTTGCGTCCAGTAAATCCTCCCCGGCCAGGATACAAACCCATGACAAAGCGCTCGCGGAACGCCAGGCGAGTGTCTTACCACTACACCACGGAGACTGGTAATAGCTCCCTGGATCTAATAGACTGGATATAGTTCTCGGTTCTAAACATAACTCTTTATACTCGTGCTTTCTGGCCCTTGAGTATCAGTGACAGCTCTTCTGCCCTCCCTAATTTCTTGAAATACTGCGGCTTTTACAACAGAGATTGGAATACCCAGATTTAACTCAATTGTAGGCTTATCCCATGCAGTTTTAGCTGCCTTGTCTATATGTCATCATGCTAGACAACACCTATAAGTGAGATAGTATCTATACAAATCAGATTGAAACTGTTGAGATGTGTAATAATTCCTAGTATCTATTTTGCATGTTGGGTTTTTCAGTGCTTGAAGAGCTGTCTTTGAATCACAGAAAATTATTCCTCCACTGTTTTTTTTAGTGTGTTAGTTGCAGGTTGCAGTGCAGCTAATTCTATATGTGTGGAGGTAGGTCAGTCTTACACTTGTGGTCTGTGAACATCTGTTGTCTTTGTATATTCTACAGGGTGCTGCAGTGCGACCTGTTGACATTCGAACAGAGCTATCAGTGGAAGGATAGTGCTTGTGTGGCCCTAAGTTAGGGCCTAAACTTACCCTAAGTTAAAGGCCTAAGTTACCTATAAAGGAATCGATAGTTTCAAGTGTTGTTGCTTTGAGGAGTCCTGGGTTTTCCTTACTAGTTTTGCTGATGAGCGTGCAAGACACGTCTAACTCAGGGTTCAGATATAGTGGAATATCATTAGATAGTACATTGCATACAATAGAAATACTGTATTCAGTTTGATAAGATTGGCAACACAGAATACTATTAAAGTGACCACAAGGTTCGGAAGTGGTCACAGGATTTTACTAAAGTGACCAACAGGTTCTCTTGTTGTCATCGCAGAATTCTACTGAAGTGAGCACAAGGGTTCTCTTCAAATGATCACAGAATTAAATTAAAGTGATCACAAAGTTCTCTTCAAATGATCACAGAATTCCACTGATGTAATCAAAAGCTTCTCGTGAAGTGATCCAAAACCGTATAAGCTTTGACATCAGTACTACAATCAGGATTGATAAAATATCTACGATCTGGGTTCCCCTCAGTTCTCTTAGCAATGTTGTCGTTCCTCTCATCTCCCACTCAGGAGCATAGGCCCTGCGTACCAAGGGTTAAATTTATCAATCAAATTATTTTTATTTCATTTATTTAGACCTGACTAACAACAAACATAAGTTCACACAATAATGTTTCGTGACCAAAATAAACACGAAAACAGGGATTGTTTTGTCATTGTTGGTATAAGTATACCAACATGTATATATACATGTTGGTATATATGTACATATATACATGTATATATAAGTACACCATGCACTAGACATGGCTAAAAACAAAAACAATCATGGAACACAACCCAATGTAATTTATAAGTTAAATAAGTGTAAATGTCGTACCACGTACTGAAGAATATGATAATGATTATTGCTTAACTAGATTGGATTTACTCTTGGATTGATAGAGACTTTAAAAGTACTATACTTTGATATTTTGAACTTCCTCGGGAGGTGGCAATAGATATACAATTATAAACTTAAATTTACGAAATAAAACTGTTACCTTCCTTAATCTTAATCCACCGCTGCCCACTGGGTAGGGGCGGTGTGCGGGATAAATATATCAATTGTGGCACTAACTCTCCACATATGTCAGTTGCTTAATTTAGAAAACTGTATTTGTGGTCAGTCTCGAGCCCATTGTTGGTGTGAAGCTGTGCATTGAATTTTGTAGCTACCTCATCAAGACTGTAACTTGCTTAGCTAAATGAATTGTGGGGGACCCATTATGTGCCTCTGTAACCTTTTCCACTACCGCCCACCGGATGGGTATGGGGTGTATAAAAAATTAACTAAACTAACTTTCTTTTAAACAGAACCAGGTATGATGTCTGTTGCTACATGAACAAGAAAAACACTGAAACACAGAGGCATCTTTTCTCTTTACTTGCAAAAATAAAGCAATAAATGTTTCCTAATAACTCTAGCAAGTAAAACTGTACATTGCATACACAAAATATTGTTGAGGCTACGAGGATTTGTAACATTCTTCGACTAAATGTCAGCCATGTCTTATAATGAGGGACTCAAACCAGCTTGGTTCCATTCATGGTATTTAAATTCCTGATAAGGAAATGTAAATAAATGATATTTAAATTCCTGTATAAAGTTTTTGGGCAACCATTAAAAGTTTCACTCTTAAAGCTTGCCTACTGAATTTGTCTTCATATGGCCTTGTTAAATGCTTGAAATACTTAAATTATAGCGAGTTATAATCATAGCTCACAGTGTGCTAAAGTTTTTTGTCTTCAGTTAAGTCATTTATTATGCACCCCATACCGATCCCGTAAGCGGTGGTGGAAAGGGTTACAGAGGCACATAATGGGTTCAGGAACTGAACCCTACAGTTCATTTAACTAAACAAGTGACAATTTTATGAAGCTAGTTATAAAAATTTTTTTTTACACAAATGCATATTCATATATCAATAGTTTTTTTGTATTTCACAAGTGATTCAAGAAGTGGCTCATAACAGTCTCTGTATATGACAGTTCACATCTGCGGAGAGTCAGTCATACAGTTACTAGTCCTGCTCCACACCCACCCAACTGGGCGGCAGTTTACAGTCATGGACAGGCTGCACCCTAGAATAAGCAAACTTTGAATACTTATCTAAGATTCCTTTTGGCATATTACTTCATTATGACTGAAGTACTTACACATTTCTGAACCCCTTTGATAGAATTATCTCTGTATTCGGCGATATTTTTGCATTCAATTATATAATGACGCAAAGATGAGAATAGTTCTGCTGACCGAGTTTACAGTTAGTCAAATCTACATCAGCAGATGACGCAAACTCCCAGAGGTACTTTGTAGCCGAGCCCAAGCCTAGCAGAGGTAACATCTAGAAGTCTGTTTAACCTCATATAAGTTCCTTATTGGATGACCTATAGACCTGCGGTTCTTCCTAAATAATAGAATGATAGACGGAGTAACTGGTGTGAATTTCACTTTGCTTCAAATCTATTACATTTTGTTGCTGTTCTCGGAATATTACTGCTCTCAGACTGCTCAAAGGCAGTCCCAAATAGTAATTATTGTCATGCATTCGGAGACCAATATGGGAAGGAATCCACAGGAGACAAACTCTGACTCCAACACTGATTATTTCATTACATAAGTGCCTATCTCCAGACACCTGCAGCACGTCACAGTTATGCCTTGGGGAGCTGAGTGCAGTCAAGGATGTGCTAAAGATGGAGACACAGTGACAAATAGCAACTAAATAAAACAAACATGAAGAATGAACCAGGAAAATGTTTGACAACAAGAGATAATTCCATCACATCCAATCAAAACACGAGAGGCGTCACTATGGCTTCTGCTGGATGTTTTTCTGTTCCGTTTTGTTTAAACTAATTTGTTTTGCATCAAGCAAAAATACTTGATAAATACAGTTTGCAGTAATACCTTTGTAATCTGACATCAGACAGATATAAATATTCCAGAGTGTTTTCAAACTCTTTTTATATATATTTCAAAGAATTAGTTATGTCGCTTTCTGCTACCTACTTAGCTATAAGCTCATGGACACGGAAAGAAAATAAGATTATAGCGAGATTTGTACCTATAAAAAGCCTCATCTTTCCTTTGAGAGGGAATATAGAGATAGAGCTCAGCGCCCACATAAAAGCCTATTATTTATATAAATGTGAATGTAAATGAAATACTAAAGTACACCAGCGTTTGAGTGACAGTTGCCACCCCATACAATAATTCGACTTATGACTTCATGTAAACACAGTACAGTGTGTACTACCGGTACTTCCAGTCTTACAAAGTTAGTTAACAATTTGACCTGCTTACAATAATCTAGTCTTGTTTTATATAATCCTTAATATATATGTGTGTTTGGTATGTGTAGATGTATATATGTATGTATGTGCACTTATATACAAACACATGCAATATTCCCTACGTAAACCCCCCACACATACACCCACACATACCAAAGAGCCTAAGCTTAACCCTGCAATCACAATTAGGTGAGTATCAACACACAACACACAACCACACACACACACACACACACACACACACACACACACACACACACACACACACACACACACACACACACACACACACACAGGGACGTTAGAAGGAACTTTTTCAGTGTCAGAGTAGTTAACGGATGGAATGCATTAGGCAGTGATGTGGTGGAGGCTGACTCCATACACAGTTTCAAATGTAGATATGATAGAGCCCAGTAGGCTCAGGAATCTGTACACCAGTTGATTGACAGTTGAGAGGCGGGATCAAAGAGCCAAAGCTCAATCCCCGCAAGCACAAATAGGTGAGGTGAGTACACACACACACACACACACACACACACACACACACACACACACACACACACACACACACACACACACACACACACACACACACACACATACACACACACACACACATACACACCTGACAACCCAAACCTTGCTTGTATGTGAACACCAGATCAGCATTTCACCATGCCAGTATAGTTTTCTAAAGCACTACAATAACAGCGGACATTTACAACCATGGCACCTTCACTACCCCAGTACATATGGGCTATAAACTTAAGGTTATGTCATCATATCTTAGATTTAAGGCAACACGAAGGGCAGCATTGATACTGTACAGCATAAGCTAAATACCTTGCATAGATAACAGCATCCAAGCAAAATTTAAAACGAATGATTTCCTTTGTGACTAACAATTATATATACAGTTGCAACACGTAGAGAAAAACACAAACTGGCTGAGGAGGACAAATTACTAAGGACAATGTTGTAAGATAACCAACAACTGCATATTAAATTTAGTTCTACTGGAGACAGGTCCTACTACCCTTTATAACTCTTTACTCGTATCTTTATGAAAGCTAAAGAGTGTAAGATTATACAAAATTAATACAAATCAAAATTTTATTCTGAGAATGGCTTCCTCAGTCTTCCTTGGCTGGACAGTGCAGTTGTGGTACTAAAAATATATATTCCCATAATCTCTGCAAGAGCCTGGATATCATACCCAGGATGGATAGCCTTACACCAGCGTTACATGATCAGGTATTAGGGGTAATAATTCCCCTTGCCTCATAGGTCAATTAATCGGGTAGTTCCTCCTCTATCCATACCTTTTTCCAAAGAAAAATAATAATAATAGCTGCATTGCTATTTAACAAAATTAGTAAATGTATAACAGTTCTCATTTGTATAATAAGAAACATTGAGATACAAACATTTCTTGGCCAGACTGTACATACACTATTGAGCAAAGTTCATGAAAAATCCTCCAAAATATAATTTCTCTATACAGCACTATATTTTTTTTAAACCTAGAAGACATTTATATATATACTACTACATTTAAGACTATCGCTCCATTTATTGCAATAATATACTTGTCGGCTACAGATAGCTGTATCTGCTGTAGTCCTGAATGCTAATGTAAGAGTTATCGTACACAGCTAAATTATTGTTTTAGTTAAATTTGATAAAGAATCATAGGTGAGTGATTGCTGTAACCCAGAATGCTAATATCAGGAAGGGGTGTTACAGCTGTAAAATTGCTGTATCTACAGTGTCTATATCTGTATATATCTGCTGTATCTATAATACTTACTTACTGCTTCAACAACTCCATATCTTCTCAAAACGTTATTTTTCTATATAATATTATCTCTTTCATGCTACTAAAATAACAGTAATATCTATGAAATATGAATGTGTATTGACTAATTAATAATTGTAATTTACATATATGATACGATTAATTTGCTTGATCTTCATCACACTCTCCACCAATGAATGAGAACCATTGCATATGCAATAAATCCATGCAAAATATACCTGTTATAATTTTATAGTTATGTTTTTGCATTATACCTATCTCATAAAACCGCACCTGATACATCGAAGCTTATATTATGAAGTTTGTGGACATTGTTGGTGTCTTAATACACAGCTTAACACTGCGTAAACACCTTACAGTATACATCAATTATTTGCTGTGGATGGTGGGGAGTATGTTGCTTCTGTATAATTCACCTGTTCCATTACTCAAGTCTATGGCATAACTACTTCATTACGGGACAGTATGTCACAGTTGGTATATTACCGGACTGTATGCTACAGCTATACATTACCAGACTGTATTCTACAGCTACACATTAACAGACTGTATGCTACAGCTAATACAATACCAGACTGTATTCTACAGCTACACATTAACAGACTGTATGTTACAGCTAATACAATACCAGACTGTATTCTACAGCTACACATTAATAGACTGTATGCTACAGCTAATACAATACCAGACTGTATTCTACAGCTACACATTAACAGACTGTATGTTACAGCTAATACATTAACAGACTGTATGTTACAGCTAATACATTAACAGACTGTATGCTACAGCTAATACATTAACAGACTGCAGGCTACAGCTATACATTAACAGACTGTATGTTACAGCTAATACATTAACAGACTGTAGGCTACAGCTGTACATTAACAGACTGTATTCTACAGATACAGCAGCCTGTTTGTTGCAGTTAATATATTACCAGACTGTATGCTACAACTAATACATTACCAGACTGTATGCTACAACTAATACATTACCACACTGTATGTTACAGCCATTTGTATATCATACATAACATTCCTGGCCACACATGAACACAACTCTGCAACTTTCACTTTCTGCTTTATAATTTGAAATCGTTATCTGGCAATAATAATAATAATAATAATAATAATAATAATAATAATAATAATAATAATAATAATAATATTAATAATATTTTATATAATATTATAGGCGTTATTTGTTGACAAACGTCAATCACGATTTCTGAATTTAGCTATTGAGTAAAACTTCTGTATTTATACACATGCTATGTATATGTGATCAAAAGTCTGGGTATTAAATTCAGAATAATTTTATTGTTATTGTTTATTGTTCATATATTTATGGCAACTTTGGGTATTTTGTTATAAAAAAAAATATTTGAAAGACAAACTTCCACTGCTTTTAGAGGCAAATATAATATTTCCATTTTAAAACTACTTATATTATCTAAAGTTCACTGTTTTTTTCTTCACAATATGCTAATATAGTTTACAAAATAAGGATATTGTGATGTGTTTTTTATGAGGCTACTTGCGCATGAATTCAACGTGTTGCATGGTTGAGGAGTTTCCAATAAATATATTTGCAGTCAGACACTTGGATAAACTCCACCAGACAAACATTTTGTTGTTTTACGATTGCTCTTGTTGCTATTGTCGTGACGTAACTGGTGATGGCGGCGCTGTCAGCATCTTGAAGATCTTGTCTCCGTGGCGAGGAGAAAGGAAACGCATAATCACATGCAATGATGCTTACTTCCTCTCCGTGGTGTAGCGTTCCCGCTCCCTGCGCTTGGTGCAGCGTTTCTCCTTCAGGAGGAAGGGGCCGTGCTCACAGGTGGGCTCAGTGCACTCCCCCCGGGACACGCAGCTGTGGGCGGGAGACACGCTATACTGTCAGCTCTCAGGTTCCCCCGTGTTCTAGCTCCCAGGTTCCCAGTGTTCTAGCTCCCAGGTTCCCAGTGTTCTAGCTCCCAGTGTTCTAACTCCCAGGTTCCCCGTGTTCTGTCTCACGTCGCTACGCATGTGATCAATATTTGTCTATGTCAGTTTTTGTTATGGTCCTTTATCCCTCTCCTTGTGTTTCTTTATCCTTGTCTTTGTGTTCATCTATCCTTGTCTTTGTGTTCCTTTATCCTTGTCTTTGTGTTCATCTATCCTTGTCTTTGTGCTCCTTTATCCTTGTCTTTGTGTTCACAATATGAAAGACTTGCAAGGATATTACAAGCATGTGGAATAGATGCTAAAAATACTAGAATGGATAAAACAATGGTTAAAACAAAGAAAGTAAAGAGTCGTCATAAATGGAATTGAATCTGACTGGAGAAAGGTGGTGAGTGGGGTACCGCAAGGTTCCATCGTGGGGTCAACGATTAGTGTCATACATTAATGACAAAGACGAAAAATATTATAAACCAACATCACATTTGCAGATGACACTAAGATTAATACACAATGAATTCGCAATGATGTGATATATATAAATGAGAAAATCATTTGGAACAATGGAAGGGGAATTTGAACTAGCATTTTAATGACTCCCAGATATCTGACTTAACCCACTCTGCCTCTGAATATCGGTCCTATTAAGAGGTGGGTAAGACCCAATAGTTACTCCCCACCTACCACCAACCAAAGTGGTGAAAAGTGATTGACCTGGTCCCAAGATTTCTTAACTCGAAAACGATGAACGTGAATTCGTACCTGGTGCTTTGTAATTACTTTATTAACTCTCGTGTTCTTGAAGATATCCTCATAATGCACCCAAAATTTGTCAGTGCAGACTACTGAACAAATGGCCCTGAATGACTAACCATCCTGCGAGATGCGGAATTTAAGTATCACTGCTGCCTTATTCACTCTTGTGTTCATGATATCCTCAAAATGCTCCCAGAGTCTGCCAGTGCAGACTACTTATCACATGCCTCTGTATGACTAGCCATCCTGTGTGATGGGGATTTTTAGCACCACGTAGCTAGCTTTTTGACATTGTACTCCCCTTCATATAGTCTAGGGCAGCTGCACAAGTGCAGGTGTACCTAAATGTGTTAATAAAAAAAACGTGAATTCAGTATTACGTTTTCTGAGACAGAGAGGGGAGAGAGGGAGATATAGAAAGGCGAGGGAAGATGAACAGAGAGAGGGAAAGAGAGAGGGGTGGAGACAGGTGGAGAGAGAGGACGAGGGATGGAAACGAGAGAGAGGGACTGGAATGGGAGGAGAGGTGTGAGTTGGAGGGGAGGCGGGATGTTGGAGAAAAAGGTGTAGAGGCGAGGAGTGGGAAAGGGAGGGTCTTGGGGGAGAAAGATCGGGAGGGAGGAGGGGGGAAATGAGAAGAGAAAAGTTATAGGGAAAGAGAGAGAGAGAGAGAGAGAGAGAGAGAGAGAGAGAGAGAGAGAGAGAGAGAGAGAGAGAGAGAGAGAGAGAGAGAGAGAGAGAGAGAGAGAGAGAGAGAGAGAGAGAGAGAGACAGAGACAGAGACAGAGAGAGAGAGAGAGAGAGAGAGAGAGAGAGAGAGAGAGAGAGAGAGAGAGAGAGAGAGAGAGAGAGAGAGAGAGAGAGAGAGACACCCGGGCGCGTGGGATATACACGCTGAGGAAAAAATCGACATGGGTATAAATGCAAAAAACAGATAGACGATAGGTACACCACGCTACAGTCATAAGCAAAACACTAAAGGAAAGAAGTGGACAAACACGACGATCTGTGTCTATCTGTTTGGCAATATGGTGTAAGGTCAGACTCACCTGACTTCAGGGGAGGAGAAGTAACCCCGTCCTCTCTTGAGTCGTCGGCACTTACTCTTGCCGTTGTCGCAGTCGCAGGTGCACTGGCCGGCCCTCACCTCAGGGGAGAAGGGACGAGGACACTTGCACCTGCGGACCACAACATTGCACTTTTATAACAAACCCGGTGTATAGATCTCACCCCCTAATGAAGTGAACAAAATTGTCCAACCTATACTTTATTCAAAAGTAAAACCAAAAAGTGCCTAATTTCATCCTCATAGTTTTTTCACCTTGTGCTACCCACTCAATCAATTTAGTATGTAAGACATTCAACTTCAGTATAATATATTCTGTCAATCTGTAATGCAGTTATTATTTTAATCAATATTATTTACTATTAAACAATTAATTAATTTGAGCCAAATAGCTCCAGTTTACTAATTGTAGGTAGTGAATGTGGGTGTCTGTAACCCTTCCCCCCCTCCCACTGGCTGGTGGAATGTGTGGAGGCTCACCAAACCAATTTATGAAACAAGCTCACTATAATAATAATTCATTCTGCTTGAATTAAAGTTGAATGTAAGTTGCTTAGCTTAGAGGCTACTTGTGGTCGTTCTCGAACCCATTATTGCTGATATATGCATTAAACTGTTTAACTAGCTTACCAACACTCTAACTTGCCTAGCTAAATGAATTGTTGGGTTGAGTTCTTGGGCCCAATATGTGCCTCTGTAGCATTTTCCGTACAGGCCACGGGACAGGTATGGGGTGCATAAGAAATGGGATAATATTTCAACATCAAATGTATTTTTACTACCAGTAGTGGTTTTAAACAAGAAGATTAATGTCACTATCAACTCCAAAGAGTAATATACCCTTTAATTTATATATAAATAAAACTATAAACTTTCTAAAACTATAAACACTGCACATCCTCTCAAGTGTACTCTATATATTTAAAACTCTGAACTGTAATGCCAATCTTGACCTTAAATGCTTCCTAGAAGGTTGTAACAGAACTCATGGGCACCACACCAGAAACAAATACCTATATGATATTCCAAGAGTGCGCCTTAACCAATCTAGAAATGCTCTACAAATTAAAGGACCCAGAATGGAATGTGGAATGACCTTCTCAATCATGTCAAAGGCTGTACCTCTCTCAACCAGTTTAAGAGAAAAACTAAATGTTGCCTAATAAACTCCATGTAACCTACCTTACCCCAGAAATCTCAACCCATGTCTTTCTATTTTCAAACAATACTGTTTGTTGACCAACTTGTATAATTGCTGTTTTCTGCCAAGTTCATTATTTTTTATTTTTCAACACAATTTATACTTTAATCTCAATTAGCATTAAGTTTAAGTCTAAGTGTTTTTTTCCCCACACCTTGCCCGAAACGCTGCGCGTACTAGTGGCTCTAGATATTGTATGTACTAGCTCTATCTATAAATCCAACATTATGTTTGTAACTCCTCTATGTATGCACTTTTACCTGAATAAACATTTGATTTGATTTGATTTGATTAAAAATTGATTTGATAAAAACAGCGACGTATACCAGTTGAGCGTTTAGATTAGTCTCCGTTTTAAAAGTAATAGTTTTTGTTTATATCACTACAGAAAATGAAAAACATTATAGGAGACTATGGTATTGTTGATTTGGGAAATACATTTCATGTATACGATATCATACTTAAATAAAACATGAGACATTATTTGTAATAATTAATCGATTTATAGACATATATATATTAGTGATAAAATAGGTAGAAGGTATTGAACTTACTCGTGGTTAGTGGGTTGTATGGTGGTGACTGCTGAGCGAGGCTTGCAGGTACAGCGAGTGTGGTTGGCGAAGGTCAGCATCTGCACCCCGGCGCGGTCTGAGCCCTGAGGACGACCACATATGTCATACTCCAACTTCCTCAGCTAATTATGCCCCTCTCTAACCTTTTCCACTACTACCACTAATGGAACTATGCAGACGAGGAGTCGCAATAATGTGGCTGAAATATGTTGACCAGACCACACACTAGAAAATGAAGGGACGACGACGTTCCGGTCACTCCTGGATCATTCTCAAGTCGTCGTCGTCGTCGTCGTCCCTTCATTTTCTAGTGTGTGGTTTGGTCAACACTAATGGAACTACACTGAAGTGACTCCACATGCATGTCCTAATCAGCAAAACTGCCACTCTGTATTTAGCTATACCGTGATTCTTCTTTTTATAAGTCCTTATTTTACTGTGTAGATTTGGGACCTGTTCCTCCAGTATTTTCCATGTGTATATTATTTGGATGTTGACCCCAAGGTAAACTCTAGTAAATGCTTTAAGGATTACGTATTTTATTACCCATCTGAGACTTATAGAACTAATGGTGTTCAGTCTTTGTCCAAGTATCGCATGGGCTCACACCCGACCCAGCTATACCTCATTGCAGTGTGTCCCATCACACCACAACTCAAATGAGTTTCCCTTAAACATTAATATATTTATGTACAAACGAAGCAAAACAAAAACAATAACAAATAATGCAAGGAAAAAAAAGAGGTAAATACAAAATAGATAAACAAGATTAAACTAGGTGAGGTGGTGACTTAAGGTGACATAAGAAAATCAATTTAAATTGACAGGAAATATACTAAGCTTCACTTCTTTCAGCGGAGTTACAGACCCCGCTCCTGTGCCAGGTAAGCTACGGGCTCACCATAGCCCGTGCTACTTGGAACTCGTTCCGAGTAGCTGAATCTATAACAACAACCTACTACGCTTCAGTCCATACGTGCGGTACTTACAAAGGCGTAGAAGTAGAGCTGGACGTTCTCGGAGTGAGCGACGGCGCAGGTGCTGTCGACGGAGTTGCAGCAGCCGGCGTCGTCGCCGCAGCGGTGGAGCAGCGCACAGCGGGGCCAGTACCGTATGCCGGGGCTCTCGTGCTGGGGCGGCACCACAGCCACACACCGCCGCAGGGGCGTCTTACACCTGCCGTTGGCGTCCACCCACCAGGCATTCTCCGACGCCAGCTTGATGAAGTGTACTGCGGGGGGGACGACGCGACTCTTTGTTACCATAATAATTACAATAATGATAATTAATAAATCTCCCTTCGGTTTGACCACAGGGGGCTCTTGGCTCACCGACCTATTCAACCTATCCTCATAACTGTGCTATAACACTATATGTACTCTATATGTTGAAAACTCTGTTATGGAACTACTTCATTTATTATAAAAAACGAACTAGAAAAAGAGGGGAAACATTAATATAAGTGTGAAAGAGGTGGGCATAAAGATGAGGTCATCAGGGCATTGGGAGGACGCCTACATGGTCACGAATACAACCCCTGATGGGCTTTGTAGAATACAACTACCAGGTAGATTTTGTGGCACACAACCCCTGGATGAATACAACGACCCGATGAACCATGAGGAATACAACCGCAGGATCAACCTGGAGTAAGTAGTAACCTTGGTTGTTGTAACTACTCTTTGGCACAATCCAATTCACATTAAGGTCTGTTATTAACAGACCACAAAGTGTGCTTATGACGGAACTTGATAAACACCTCCAAAGATAAATCTGATCAACTGAGCTGTGGTGCCTGCCAGACTGCGTTCACTGCTTGCTTGGTCACTCTCGCTAATACTTCATCTCGTGACTGATGTACAATGTTAATAAGACGAAATTACTGATGGAATGAATGTTCAAATATATTTTATTTATCTAAAGGACGAAATTAAATATTTATTACTTGTTTTCCATCGTTAATGTTTGTTTTCAATATTAATTCCCGTTTGACGGCAACAGGAAGCAAATACTTGGCTTTATCCAGGTCCAAAGGAAAAGGAAAGATGCCCAACCGTTTCTGTCCAGTCTAGGGATTAAACCTGAGTCCCTCGACTGTAGGCCGAAGAAGTAGACCACTGTACTACCCGTATTAATACCGTTGAAATAACTACTGTAATTATTTTATACACTTTTAATCGAACAAACACCTTGCACGACAAACACTTTTAACACTCAGTAACAAAAAAGATAACGAGGTGATAAGACGTTATAATTAGAGACAATTATCTCTTCATAAATTTAGGGGATTAATCAAATTATCTTTAATGTGTGTTGGTATGTAAGTGGAGGCGGCGAGGGTGGGAGGGGGGGGGGGTAGGGGGAGGGTAGCCCACCTCAACACTGGGGGGCACCACTGGTCAACACTGGGGGACGTCACTGGTCAACACTGGGGGACACCACTGGTCAACACTGGGTCTCATCTCCCACACCATATTTACCTCAAATTTACGCCGTACGAGGTTTACCTGAGGGTCATTATCTCTCTAGTGGCCTCGACGAGGACAGGAAATCCGCGGATTGACAAAGGTATTCCCCCCCCCTCCGCCCCATTTGTCGCGATCGTTTTAAGGAGCTGGATTGAGGTTGACAAGGCCAACCACTGACCTTTCACAGGGTGCAGCGCACAACAGTTGCCTTGTCCCGTCAGATATAAGAAAATGTACCCAAATCAACTCCTACTCGAGATCGAGTCCAATCGGTTGTGAGCCGACTGCACCACCCACTGCCTTACATAACACCCAGGGCTATTTATACTAGTTCTCTAACTTGCTGCTCACTAAACACACTCACACCAATTAACATCACTGCAGGTTTATAAAATAAAGTTTCCTACCGCTTCAACAAAGATAATAAAGTGTTAGGGTTCGCGGTACAATAATATCTCTCGCGCGTGTGAAAATCTTAAGGCCGTCCGCGGCCAGAATACTTAAGTTACCCCATAATTCCCAGACCCGCTGACAGCATCACTGGGACTGAATGGACGATACAGGTGTACAAGTGCCGCTTCTTGCCATCAAACACTTGTATATAACTAATTTAGATAACACAAAATTTAAACAACATTTGTGGGTCTTTTGCACTTTTTAGTATGATTACTGACTGATTTTAAGAGAATTCGGGTTATTCGGCAACACTGCTTAAGGGTTGTGTACTAGAAGGGCGTATCCGGCGGTGCCCGGGTCTGTCTTCCTTACTCTCTCCCTCTCTGTCTCCCCTCCCCCTCTTTTTCTTTGTGTCTGTCCCTGTTTCTTTCTGTCTCTGTATGTCTGTCTCTATCTTCCTGCCTCTGATTCTGTCCATCTCTGTCTCTCTGTCTATGTTTTTTTTCTGTCTCTGCCTCTCTTAGTATTTGTCTCTGTCTGTCTATCTCCCTCTATTACATGATCTGCGAGGAGGTGAGTCTGAGAGGATAGCAGCTTCTTCACAGCCGTCTGGTTGTTTGTTAGCGATGTCTTGAGTTCTGGCCTTGATATCTTTATGCTAAATATATAATTATAGTTTTGCACTCATGTTGTCCTTTTATTAAGTTTTTAGAATTGAAGCTCATTTTTGCAATTTGATCAAAGCAAATTTGGATTTTATAATAATAATATTAGGATAAGACGGACAATACTATTTCTAAGGTATTGTAAATTCTGAGAATCAGTCGTCACATCATCTTAAGTACAGGGAGGGAAACTGAGAAACCACTGAATAGGGTAAGAGAGTACCTGTCGGGCGGAAAACAAAGTGGAATAGTCGGCCAGGAGTTCTCAAGGTCAGGAGCCGTGACACGCGGGTTTTAGAGAATCATAGGATCACTGTTGTTCCTAATTTCTTTGTATGACTTACCCGAGGCCGGGAGCTTATAAATGTTAACGTTTGAGTAAAGTTGATGAGGAGTATATGAACCAAGTAATGATCCTCTCTGCAATCGTAGAGAATTTCAGGGACATCTTGACGAACTTCATAAGTGTGCAGCTAATTGGCTATTAGAGTTTAATCCCAGTTACTGTAAGGTAATGACGATGGGAAAGGGAGAAATGATACCTGGTGACATCTACACCATAAGTGGGAAGGCAAGTACAGGAATTCAAGCTCGGCGAGTAGAAGAACTTCCAGAACCCTCTCCAGGTATACTCCAGGTACCAGCTGCACATTGCAAGCTGGCAAACATTAGAACGTCTTTGCAAAACGTAAATAAGGATACTTTCAAGATAGTCTGTGCAACCTAGGTTAGAACACTACTAGAGTACGTAGTACTGAATTGGAACCCCTATCTCGTGAAGCACTAAACAAGAAGTGAGAAAGTGCAGAGGTCTACAGCAAGACTGGTACCAGAGCTAAGAGTACAAAGCTACGAAAACAAATTAAGGAAACTAAATGTCACAACCTTACAAAAACGAGGGAAAGAATGATAAGGGGAATAATACGAAAGCTGGAAACGCAAAGGAATAGAAGAAATTTAAGGAAAATGACGCACCTGGTACAGGTGGTCAACAAATGTAAAGCACCGCAGGAAACAGTTGTGGAAGAGACCTCCATAACTTTAAGATCAAAGACGGTAAAGAACTTTTAAGGTCAGGAAACTTATAATAAAGTGCAACAGGTAAAACGAGGCAAGTACTGGCCCGTATCATCACTGACAATTACAGGTATGGCTTCAACACTTTTGTATGCAGTCTTAGGCACTTTGACCAGCCGACCATTGTTCAGAGGTCTGTGTAGCGCTGTGTTCCAGCATTTGTTTACATTATTCAGTGCTGAGAGAGAGAGAGAGAGAGAGAGAGAGAGAGAGAGAGAGAGAGAGAGAGAGAGAGAGAGAGAGAGAGAGAGAGAGAGAGAGAGAGAGAGAGAGACAGACAGACATAGAGAGACAGAGAGGAGGGGAGGTACAATGGGGTCTAGAAATACAGACTTTGGTGATAAATGTTACCTTCAGGCAGAGACACAGGACGCAAGTGTTCCACAGACAAGACGGACAAAGCCACCATTCAAGACAGAGGAGCATCACAGAGTCGGCACCAACCCCACCGTCCACTCTTCTCACCCATAATGGTTTCCTTATTAAAACAACCAACATAAAAAATCGTCGTAAATCATCGGGTCCGCGGGTGTGGATGAGCCCACCTATTTGTGATTGCCTATCTGTGCCCAGTAGCTGGGAGCAGATTCCACACTCCTTCAGTTCGTACCATTTCAGCCACAGTTCGTACCACCTCAGCCTCCAGTTCGTACCACCTCCGCCTCCAGTTCGTACCACCTCAGCCTCCAGTTTGTACCACATGTTTACTACTGCCTCTACGTGGGTGATGATATACTCACCTAATTGAGCTTGCGGGGGTTGAGCTTTGACTCTTTGGTCCCGCCTAAATGTCCTCACCTAAATGATCTTAAACTACAATTAGCGTTGTTAGGGATGCGCTTAGCAGCCATCAGCACCCGCCCAGACAAGGAGCGACTATGCGTAGAGCAGCACAACAGTATGATGGATCCCAGCTTGACTATGTAAACAGATTCAAATACCCTGGTGTTGAGGACGGAGAGCACATGTTGTCACTAGAGTCGGTGGCGGGTATAGAGGCTCTATAGAGCTCTCAAGGCTGCGGCACCACACCAGCCACAGTGGACGTCATATATATCGCAGCTTTTGTTGAGTATGTTCCTCCTCGTCGTGCACTGGTGCTCGACGGCATCCTTGCAGGCGTTAACACATCCTATCTTGGGATCTTGGGATGATTTCGGGGCTTTAGTGTCCCCGCGGCCCGGTCCTCGACCAGGCCTTCACCCCCAGGAAGCAGCCCGTGACAGCTGACTAACACCCAGGTACCTATTTACTGCTAGGTAACAGGGGCATAGGGTGAAAGAAACTCTGCCCATTGTTTCTCGCCGGCGCCTGGGATCGAACCCAGGACCACAGGATCACAAGTCCCGCGTGCTGTCCGCTCGGCCGACCGGCTCCTAAACTACACTTTTGCTCTATTTATGGCGGCAGGATCCAGCTCTAGCTCTTGAACCCGCTTTTCTATCCTTTTCTAAAGCAATGACTCCTGACATATTGCCCTGTCATAACTACTTTAAATTAATGGAGTTTGCCTCTAGAACCTGCATGCTCCATTTTTTTTCCACGTTTTCACAACTGTTATCCATAGAAAACATTCGATTTTTCTAATCAATCCATGACTCATCTGAGTTTCAATCTTCCATCCA